TTTTACCTTATCGGTGTTATGCTACATGTCCACATGGGATTACATGTATATGCATGTAGAGACTTACTCCTCACATTCAATGTAATGAGCATAGTAAAAAAACAAAACAAAACAAAAAGCCTTTTAGACATGTAAAAATGGCTTATTCTTACCCCACTACACCCTGATAACCAGAACCCAGTGACATCACTCACTCATGATAACCAGACATAGTCCTAGACTTCATGATGCCCACTGGACAGTATTTAAGCAGAGACCAAGAGCAATGCTTTGCTTTGCACATCTGGAGAGACCAGGGTCCTGACCCTCAAATCAGAGACTTCTGTTAGAGACTGGACCTGACCTTCAGCTAAGATACATCACACAGGCGAGTAGCCTTGGGGAGACAGGCTTAGGACTGTAGTTAGGAATCTTGTGTGAACCTTGTGTGATGACCTTCAGCATACTATGAGTAAAAACCTTCTTGCTTGCAACATACACATTACCTTTCTTTCCTTCTTTTCTTTTCTTTTCTTTTCTTTTCTTTTCTTTCTTTTCTTTTTTTTTTTTTTTTTCAAGGCAGTCTGACTGCAGTTACTGTCCTGGAACTCACTAACTAGACGAGGCTGACTAGACAGCGAGCCCCAAGGATTCTGTTTCCATCTCCCTAACATGGAGATTAGAAGCACAAGCCACCATGTTGGGATTTTTATCAGTGTTTGGGATTGAACGTACTGGGGATTGGACTTCGGGGGATTGAATTTTGCTCCTCTGCATACAAGGCAAACACTTTACCAGCTGAGCACCTCCCCAGCCTCCAGTGCCACTCTTGGGCTACTTCAGTTTCTGCTCTTCTGGCCCGAGTGCGGCATTCTGAAATGATACACATTCACTTGCCCCACCCCCAAGTCACCTAGCAAGAGCTATCATTGACTGACACCCATACCACTATTCTCATTTTAGGCCTGCACAAAAAGGGTCAAAGTGGAGAGTCCCATTTTTTTAAAAAAAATATATATATATAGTATTACTTAATTTCATTCAACTTGTTGATAAGTAGATATTTAGGACCAGAACGATTCTTAGGACAGAAGTTGCTGAAATATCTCTCGATACAGACCAGCCGGCCTTACAATCATGGCGTTCCTGTTTCTGCCTTTCTATTATTGGAACCACAGGGGTGGGTCATCACACCTGGCCTTCACGATTCTTTCCTCTAAGAAATGTATGGGGTATTTGCATATACAAACTAGCAACTAGCTAGTTTGCATATACAAATACAGCAAACTAGCGCTGTGCTAGAATTCGAGAAGGCCGTCATACCTTTGAAGGTAATGGACAGAGCTTTCTCTGCCTCAAGATCCTTCCCCACGCTCAGGCAGGCAAGATTGATCAGGCGCGGGGAGCCAGCGGCAAGCATTCCAGCACAGTTTTTGCGGTTAGGCAGAACCCCAAGTAAGTCTCCAAGAATAAACGAGCAAGTCACAAGGAGCTGGGAGGCGGGGGTGGGGGTGGGGGCCGACTGTGAACTCTGCTGCAGGCGGACCTGTCACTCCAGCTGACAGCAAGAACCTTACACCTTCAAGTTTTTAAGGAAGGCGGCGAGCCCCAGACAGAGCTTGGCTCCAGAAAAATGAACTCCTGAGGTTGTAAAGAGAAAGGAAAACGCCCCGGGGGCTGCCAGCGGCCCAGTGAGACACCTGTGGGGTGGGCAGCTTTGCCAGGCTCTGGGCGATGCCCGGGACCCAGCACAAAAGGCTCAGGCTACCTGGCGTCGGGCTCCTCCTCCGACTCGGCCTCTTCATTCTCTCCCTCCTCTTCATTCTCGCCCTCCGACGACTCCTCCGTCTCCGGTTCCTGGGTCGCCTCCTCTTCTGCACCCCAGCGGAGGAAGCTCTCAGCAGCGTGTCTGTTGTCACCGCTCGCCATCGCGCCTGTCCCGGCCGGAGTCAGAGCTACCCACGCCGCCCGCGCCCGGTGTTCTCCCTCTGACTGCACTTTGCCGGGGCCCGCGAGGCTGCTCGGATTCCCGGCACGCAGGGCGGGGGCGCCCCAGGCCTTTAAATAGAAGGCGTCAAGAAAGTTTCGCCACTGAACTTCTGGGGCCCAGCTTAACTATCCTTGGTACCGGTCCCCTGCCAATTGTCCCGCCCATTTTGGCAGACCTTGGGAACAGGGCAGATTGCGGTGCTGAGGGCTGCACCTGGGCGTCAAGGAACCAGCTCGCTCAACCTTCCATCCAGTGATCCGGCGGGTTTTACACTTTGAGCAGAGCTGCTGGGTGGTTCTCTTATGCCAAAGGAGGCAGCACGCAGCCAGGAACTTGCTTCCCTTATTCCTGATGGACATGGTGCCAGCTTGTAGATAGTGTAAGGTCTCACTGCTAGTGCGGTGACAACGGGGAACTTGCTAGACTCGCTAGTCGATATAAAGGCCCAAGAGTTCACAGAACCTCTATCTTAAATCCACACTAACCCAAGACTGGGTGTGTTAGGGACTGAGATCTCATTGGAGCCAGTAAAGCCAGTGCTAAACCTCTCAGCATAGCTCTAGGAATAAAGTCTAAGATTCTCCGAGATCAAATCCTGACTAATCCACTTTCAGAAATCAGGTATTTACACCGTATCAAATAGAACGCCTTCTGCCTGAAAAGCCCGCCTATTTACTTAGTCAAGATCACCACCTTTCTCTGAAATGCCCAAGTCCGAACTCTCCAGGAACTCAAAGCACCTACTATGCTTTGACACCCAGTATGCTGACACCCAGCAGACTGTTTATGCTCATCTTTGTCTCCCTACCCAGTTCTCAGAAGTTACTGGGCTGACTTCGAGCAAACCACAGTATGTAATGAATGCTTGCTTCTAAAAAGGCCAGACCTTTGTAGTCTGTACAACAGGCAGGAAAGTATTCTTTTCTGAGAAGGACTCAAACTTTTGGGCTAGAACTCCAAACCTTTATTTTTAATCATAGCAGATTCAAGTTACAGTTTAGTTTGTAAAGGAGACAGGTAGAGAGGTATTCTCCAGCTACAGCGGCTTGTATGCTGTACAGTGAGCCTGTGGACAAAGGGGTAGAGCGGCAGGCTTTTTTACCACTGATTTTGCTAAGATCCTATTTTAAATAACCCCAAACAGAACTGTTTAGAGTCCACACTTTAAACACAAACAATACTTTAATAATACTTACAAATATACAGAAATGGAGCTATCAACACACACAAAATAAAATGTACTATTCACACAAAATTAAATAATTTCTGTCTCCTGCTGAGGATATTAGTTCAATGGGTAGTGCACTTGCCTAACAAGGATGAGCTGAGTTCAATCCCCAGCATGGAAAATAATTTTTAAAAAAGTCTCATATGTTAACAGCCCACTTTCCTGATAAAGCTGGCCTGCTACCAGTACATGATCTTAGGTGCTGACCCATTAGGTCCAGGATATAAATGTATCATCTTTTTGGCCTACTTGTTAACAACAAATTGGCTCAAAAGTAGTAGGGTGGGGCCACAGAAAAATGAAAACAGGTGGCAACGCAAGAGTCCACACTGTGGTTAACTCTGAGGCTTTATTAACATCATGATGCTGTGAAGCAGAACACCCACCCATCCCTAAGCGACTCCTATTTACAAACATTACCCGGGTCCCCATTAAACCATCATACTCAATACATTCTGAGAAGGAGCTGCACGGCATGCAGTAAATCTCAGGAATATTTCCAAGGAAAAGAATTCATATATAAAACGCTTAACTGTACTACAGATAAGTAATCTAAAAAACTGACCCACTTGGAAAGTTTATTCCCAATAAAGCCAGAGAAATACAGTGACTGACGGGCTTAACCACAGAATTGGATTCAGACCAATTCAGATAATTACAGCCTCAATCTTACTACAAAACCAAGGACTTTCACAGAAAAATTACACCTCAAAAATTTCCAGATATAAACTTTTATTCCATTTGACAGCATATAAAAATTTAAACTTAAGAAAAAGAAAATACGCACCCTTTATAAGTCAAAGAAAGCAAATATTTTAGTTTTTTAATTGGTTTGCAAAAAATAGTTCAGTGGTACAAACTGTACCACCATAGGCCTACAAGAAGTCTGCGATCTTTGAAAAAGTTAAAACTACCTTCAAGATTATTTTTTATATTTAAATTTACAGGTACTGACCAATTTACAAATATTTACATGAACTAAAAACAATCTTAATAAACAGAACAGCTTGTATCTGAAGCTACTACTTTCATGTGGAAAAGAAATACTAAAAAAGATTTTTGTATAAACATTAAACTTTTATTTATAATTTTATTGTCTTATCTAAAACACTTTATAGTGGCTTACTGCCTAAAAATTCCAGTTTAGATTATAATCCACAGAAATCCGATTCTACAAAGAGGATATAATCTTAACTTTGATGTTCAGTTTTCTATCATGAGGAAAAAGATCAGGAAAACAGAGGTAAAGCAACAGTGTACACTGCACTATGCTATCAAAAAGCATAGGAAATGCTATCTTTCCAAAGTGTCTTAGCAAGTCACCAACTGCTGTTAGTGGTCCTGTAACAACAGTGCAAAATGTATGGTTTCCACACAAACTCTAAAGTAATCTCCAGAGTCGAGCAGAGCCAGGTGTGCAGTGCTAATGTAACACGAATACAGACACATCAGAGACAGGCTGTCCCAGAGTCAAGCGGAGACTTAAGGCAATTGTCCAGTATGTTTCAAGACTCCAGTGACTTCACTGAATGAAAGATTTCATTTGCTTCAAGTAACTGAATAACTGACTTGAATCTTCCCTTGACTAGAACTGAGTTAAACAACTGTCTACTGCCAGTTACACTGTAAATATGTATTACTTAGATCCTTTGCAAAATTCCACATGGTTCTTCATGTGCATGTGGTACAATTACTTAAAATTATATCAAAACCTTATTAGTTCAGGTAATTTCTCAAAATATATTTTATGCTGAAAAGTCATGCCATAATACTACTAATCATCAATGTAAACATTTTCAAAAATACATTTTTAAATCAAAGAGTTTATTAGGAAATGTCATAATAAAATATGCAATCTTTATATAAGTATGTCCTTTAAAAAATAAAACAAAAACAAGAACAAGATTAAAAATAAACCATGATGGAGGTAAACAAATGCATTGTGATGTAACTATTGTTCTTTATTTCTTGGAAGAGTTTAAGAATTAGAGGGCAGCTATCTCTTCAGGGTAGCAGCTCTCAAAGGCAGAACACTGTTCAGATCTCTCTTGTTTTTCAATCTGTGCCATGACTAGGAAAGGAAAAAAAATAAATTAAAAACCAATCTTAAAATACAAACTACTACAGAATTTTTGAATTTTAAATTCAAAAAATTTAAAAGAACATTAGTAGTGGTTCTTTCTATGTATACATTTACATTTTTTTCTTGTTTTTATTAATCACCAAAAAAGAAACAATTATTTAATATTCTATGCAATGATTTTTTTTAAATGGGGACACAGGTGGCAAAAAAGCTACAAGTGACAATAATAACATATTAAATATTAAATAACATATTAAAAATAACATATTAAAAATAACATATTAAATTATTTTATCTAAAATAGCAAAGTATTCAATTTGAATTTAAGAGGGTAAAATGACTTTGTTTTGTAGCTTTTTTTTTTTAAGTAAATACCAGTATTTTTAGGAAGGCAAGAGTAAATGTAAAATTTTGTGCAAGCGCCTGGGAACCAGTGAAAGCATTCATAAAAGACACTGCAATTCTTAGTCATGCTAAAAGTTCGGGTCACAAGTTTATGAAAACATTAAGTGTTCATTCAAGTTACTAATTGGTGTGGGAGAATTGTCTGTATTCTGTCAATCATATTTTAATAAAATGCTGATTGGTCAGGCAGGCAGTATAGGCGGAAAAGCCAGACAGGAGGTAGGGGTGGAGCAAAGAGACTGGGAGTATTCTGGAAGCAGAAGCTCCCTCAGCCACTCCTGCACAGACCACCGCAGAGGCAGCATGTAACATGCCCCGCTGGAAAAGGTACCAAGCCATATGGCTAACATAGATGACAATAATGGGTTAATATAAGCTATAAGAGTTAACAAGAAACCTGAGCTAATGGGCCAATCAGCTTTATAACTTATAGAGATCTCTGTGTGACTGATTTTCTCTGGGACTTGCCGACTGTGGGGTACTGGGCGGGAACAGATACCCCAACAAGCCGGCCCTCATGTTACAACTAATGGTATTGGTTTTATTGCTAAATCATTCTAAAAGAAGCTCACCCACTGCTAAGAACAAGTGAGCAACAGGAAAACTATGCTCCACTTTGCTTGTTGTGAGGAAGACCTAGTCTGAAGAGAGCCTGCAGCACACTGCTTGCATTTTAATTACACGAAGTCTGTCTGTCCGAATAATGAAAACAATTATCTCTAAAGTAGCTTCACTTTTCTCATCTGTCCTTCCTGTGAACCTTTCTCTCCTAAAGTTAGAAGAGTAAAGCCACTAATGTGACAGGAAAAGAGTGTATCACTTGAACTTACATATTTCTATCAATGCATTTTCACACTGCCAGTCATTGCCAACAGGTAACTCATCTAACAAAACTATTGATGAATAAATTAACATTGTGGACACAAACACAAAACATATCAAAGATAAAATGTCATAGTGGAAGTAGCAGAAAAAGGGGAAAAGGGTACAAGTCACACATCAAATCCTTCTCTTTAATAAATGCCCCGATATTTTAATTAAGGCATTCTCTGAGTTTTATTTCGTCATCTGTCAAGCTTAATAAGCCCCCTAGCTCTCTCTGGAGGAAAAATGCCTCTAAGTTCAAGTGGCACTACACTCCTCTTTTCTGTCAATAGTGGCTGTATTCTAACTTTGGTTTCGTTTTTAAAGCACACTAGTCTACTAACATCTTTAGGGTCAACATAATACACTGTTTACCTTTAAAAACTGATCCTTGATCATATCAAACTTCTGCTTTTCATGCACAGCTCTGGCGGTATTAGTTCCATCAAAGGGTTCTGCATCATGAAATGCACAGGTAAAAAAATTAGTACAATGGGCTTTTAATTTTTCCCAGCACTGGGGATCAAACTTAGGACCTCATACATGCTAGGCATATGTCCCAGGCCAAGAACACTTTTACATTAGGTTCAGTTATATGAAACTACCAGTAAATCATATTAAAACAGCAAGTTCATATGGCTTAATACACACGATCTAGTTATGAGCTGTCTGGTACGGCAGGTGGAATTCAAGTCAGAGGAATGACAAAAAATGATCAGTGGTGCAACTGAGTTGATAAGATCTCTACGGATTTACAGACAGTCAGGGACCTATATTTAGCAGAATCAAAAGTTACATAAAGAAGATAGCACTGTATTTAAGAGAGGGGCACAATGCCAGGTGTTACAGAGGCAAGTTTAAACTCAATTTTAATTTAAAAAAATGATCTTGTCCAGGACAGAAAAGGTCAGGAGCCTGTAAGTAGAGCAGTGGTTCTCAACCGTTCTAATTCTGCCACCCTTTAATACAGTTCCTCATGTTGTGGTGACCGCAACCATAAAATTATTTTTATTGCAATTTTATAACTATAATCTTGCTACTGTTATGAATCATAAATATCTGTGTTTTCCGATGGTCGCAACCCACAGATTGAAAACACTGAAGAGAACAGAGAGCAGTGTGCAGCACATTATGATATGAATGGATGTTTAGAAGGCGATCCAGTGAGAACTCTAGCAATGAAGAGAGAAAAATAATTCCAAGCAGAGAAGACAGGAGTCTATACCCTCAACCTGTGTACCCCTCACCCATAGTACACAGCAGAAGAGGCCACAGAGAGACAAGGCAGAATGGATGGGACATACAAATCAAGTGAAGTTTGGTTTTGTTTTTCTAAAACAAAAGTCTTACACGTGCCTTAATGCTAAAAGGAAGGAATGAGAGCCAAAAATCAAAGAGGTTGCTGAAAAAAAAAAAAAACAGTAGCTAAGAAAAAAAAAACCTGAAGAAAGCAAAGAAATATGATGGAGATGTTCACTTTGGTCATATAATCTAAGCAGACCCATAATTCTTAAAACTCTTAATTTTGTATTTTTTAGCAGGTGTGTGTGTGTGTGTGTGTGTGTGTGTGTGTGTGTGTGTGAATTATATAGATTCAATCAACTATAGTATGAAGAATGCATGAATTGCTCAAATCAAACCAACTACAATGCTCAAATTCACATTTGGTATTTCTCATAACTAAGGAATTCTAAATGCTTTTCCAAATTAAAAATGTAAAGGTAACCATATAAATCACCTCAGAACATAAATAGGTATTTTAGCAGAAATAAAAGTTGGAATTAGTCAGTACCATGATGATAATTAGTTGGCAAATAGTAGTCAGGGGAAACCTACCTTCAACACAGATATATTTATTTCTCCATTCAATGTCATCAGGCCTTGGGATGGCTTTGGCTTCACGAACTGAAATCATCTGAGTGTTCCAGCTAAAGGGAGAAAACCGAAAAGAACTGCTTTCCTAATTTGTCCTTAATTCCATCAGCTGGAAAGCTGACCCTGACTGCCTGACAGAACACTAAACCTTGTCCCCACCCCTCCGCACCAGTTCTCCATGTCTAGTATTTATGCTTATTACGTGTGATTCTGTATACATCTCCCAAGTAGAGTTAAGTTCTAGGACACTGAGATATTTCTTTAGCTGTTCAGTTAGTTCCTTAGTATATACTAGATACTGAATACACATTTACTAACAAAGGAAATAGTACAAAATATTTCTTTAAAGTTCAAATAAGGAAAACACATAAACACTGTCTACTGCTCATACTTCAATAAGAATTTTTCATTGGTTGTGAGGTAATCTTGTGGCATTTTCTTTTTCTGATAACACTGCATTTCTTCACTACATCTTATAGAAACTGGGATAAATCTTTGAAAGCAGCTAGCAAAAGCAAGGAAGAAAACAAAAGTAATGTTTTCTCTCTTATTATATAAGCAGCAGCAGTAGTTAACAGTACTAAGACAAGGTTTCATGTAGCCCAGGTTACCTAACTTGCTATGTACCTGAGAGGACCCTAAACTTCTGATCCTCTGACCTCCATCTCCCAGTGCTGATTTATGCAGCTGGGCACAGAACCTAGAGCTTGTGCACCCTAGGAAGCAGTTTACCACTGAGCTATATACACCCCACATCTGATAATAGAATATTTTGGGTGGAACAATTTTGTTTACATATTTGAATATAAGCCTTCTGTCTGTAGTATCTACTTTTACATGTTTCTTTAAAGATTATAAACATTTATTTTTATTTCTGAGTTACTATAAATAACAACACTTTTCTTTTTTCCAAGGAACCTCCAGTATATGACCACTCAGCAGGTATGCAAGAGAAAAATAAATTTGAGGATGGGGTGAAATCTTTTTGTCAACAATATTTGGCTTTCTCTATCATAGCAGCAAGCTAAGAAAGATCTATGTATCCAAAAAAAATCGCTAAAGACATAATCATGGGTTCTAAACGGAAGGTTTCTGGAAATAGGATTCATTTTTGATTTTAAATATGTAAGAAATAATTTGCTGTTTGTGAAGTTTGATCATTGTAAAGTTTTCTCCAAGCATAGTTTTCTATTCTTGCTTTGATCAAAGGCTGGGCAGAGAGCATACAATGGTGGCATGCACCTGTAACCCCAGCATTCAAAAGGCAGAGGCAAGCACATTGCAAGTTCAAAGTCAATCTGGGATAGAGAGAGACCCTGTCTCCAAAGATCAAGGACCAAGGGTGTATGTCAGCAGTAGAGTGTTTGCCTGGCATGAACAAGGCCGTGGGTTTGAACCCGGGCCAGGGAGGGAGATTGGGAAAGACAACTAAGCATGGAAATACATAATCAGCAGAGTTTTCATTCTTTAAACTATGTATCATGTAAGTGGATTGTCAGTGGAGACATTCTAACACTGGTTGTTGTTTACAGTAAGATGTAACAAACACTTCAAGAACTGTAGTTGAGTTCCAAAAAGAAAAGGAAGATTTTGCTCTATTACTACAAATGCTTCTAAGAGTTTCTTTAATAACAATGGAATGAAAAAAAATGATACGACTACATACTGAACCAACTTTAATCTCTACCATTCAAGATATTCTTTTGTTTCGTTTTTGTGACAATGTCTTACAAAGCCCAGCATAGCTATGTAGTCAGGAACATCCTTGAAATTTTGATCCTCCTGCCTCCATCTTGTGCGTACTGGGAACGTATGCATATCCCACCATACCTGATGCTAAAAGCTGTAGCCCAAGTTGTCCTCAAATTTGTGAACCTCTTGCCTCATCCTTTTCAGCATAATAGCTTGCGGAACTACAAGCAGAAGTGACTTTTACTAATTCATCTTTATTAGTTCCTTTGTTTTGTTTTAGGAGAGTGCAGCTATATTGCATAGCCTGATCCTTAACTTCTAGACTTAATTCTTGTGTCAGAGAACAAGACTTGTGGGAGGGGAGAAATCAGCAATTTTTAAATGGTCATATAAAACTACTGCAAAATGTACAATATATACTCAAACATCCCTCAGCAGACAGTTAATTCTTCGGCTTCCAAGTAAAGAGAATGCCTTTAATTGAATAAAATTCAGAAGAAATCCTTACAAACATTTTAGTAGTTGCCAGAAATCTTTTAAATGGTACCTAATTCATTACTTTGATCATATTCTTGGCTGAGCTTCCTACAGTCAACTATTTGAAATTATCTTGTATAAAATAATGTACTTGGCATACATATTATATGAGGAAGTCCTAAAATCTTGTTTCAAACATTAGCCTCCTAGCTAGTGTTATTTGACCCAGCTACTTTTTATTAATGTTAAATCTAACACAAAACACTTTCCATGTCCACTCTGTGTCAATCCAACAAAGCACCTACATACAGAAGAAATTCATTTTTCTGTGATCTTTCCCTTAACATTTCACCAAATGTCTAACTTACATAATAATAAATACTGTCAATAGAGAGTGTGGGGATGGGGGCCAGTGAGACAGCTCATCATGTAAACACCCTTGCCACCAAAACTGAGGACGTAAGTTTTAACCCTGAGACCCACATGGTGGAAAAGAGAAAAGTAACTCATGCTTCATAATTTTACATCTTTTGTTAATGAAGCCTCCTTTCTCACCATCCACTGCCTGACAATTTTTAACCTGGATTATTATTATTTTTGTTTGCTTTGTTTTTTTAAAACAGGGTGTCTCTGTGCAGTCCTAGAACTTGCCCTACAGATCAGCCTGTCCTCGGACACAGAAAGCTGCTGCCTCTCACCACACCAGTTAATCTGGATTATTTTAACTTTGTTCTTACTCAGTTTTCCTCTAGCACTTTTCTGACTCCTTTCTTTAACTTCCTTCAGTAACTTTTAAGTTCTTTTAAGGATCTCTGATCCACCCAATCTCACTCTCTGCATCAAAACTGTAACAAACGTTTTATCGTCTAGCACAGGGTGAGGTGCTGCGGCCATCACTACAAACAAAAGATGTACAGAAGCTCTACTTCTAACAGTCTGAATTATATTTCTTCTTTCACGTCCTATGTTTCAAATACAAGTCAGATTTCTTTAGAGTTGCTTACATGATATCAAATAAGGCAATTACAATGCTGCTGTAATCATTACAATTAAATGTGAATTTTGGAATCAAATGATCTGAAATCATTATCCTTACTAGTTATAAATTCTTTGGGTATTTGCTTCATCTCTTACTGAATCCTTCTGTGACTCACTGGTAAAATATAAGGTACAATACAACTTCATACAATGATTATAGGAACCGAATGAGGTAACAGATCTCCTCTGCTTAGAAACCCTTTTCCATCGACTAACAGCCATTTATTAGTGCTATCACTCTCCTCTCCAAACCCTTCAAAAAAATAATAATAATAATACTAAAGTCACTGCGGCTCTTTGTATAACTCCGAAGGGCTCCCCACTCCTCAGACTTTCCGTATTGATCAGAGTACTTCAAATCACCAGCCTTACTCTAGTTGGATTTAGAACTCCCCAAAGAAGTTCTGCTGTCTGGTTGTACACTGTTTGTTTCATGTTTAATATTGCCTTAAAATCAAATAAAATAAAAGATGTATTTTTGATTTGCATTTTACCCTAATACAACTATTATTCCGATATTGATCATCTTTGATATTGATCATTTTTCTGAAAATCTCAAGTTTGCCTTAGCTATATTTTTTCCTATAAAGTTTAAATTCCTAGAAAACAGATGTTCCAACAATATACAACCTACATAGAACTAAAACACAAGACCAACCTAGGCCCTACTAGAGAGTCCTCAACATGAAATAGAAGCACAAATAAAATTAAAAAAACAAAACAAAACAAACTCAAGCATTATCAGGGCTTGAGAAATGGCTCAGAGGTTAAGAGCATGTAGTGTTCTTAAAGAGGACCCAAGTTCAGTACTCAGCACCCAAACAAAGCAGATCACAACTGTTACTCCAGCTCCAGGGGATCCCCCTCCCTTTTTGAACTCCATGAGCACTGCACCCACACATGCACAAAACCTACACCAGACATACATACATATTTAAAACACCTAAATCTTACAACTAGGCTTATTAAACTATGAATGTTTTTCATCAAAAAATAAGAACTGAAATCTTAGTTGCTATTAATTAATTGTGAGGTGCTCTGTCTCATGAACCAACTTACAGCACTGAAATCAACAACTGCAGCTTCCCTAAATCTAGAGCAGTCATTTATGTATAATAAAACAAAAACAATTTCAAGTTTTACTTACTCAAATTCTGTAGCATAATATTTAAGAAAGCCCAGTAAGAGGTCCCCAAGACTTGATTCATTCTTTGAGAGGTAAGGAGGAACATTACATGGAGTATGATGTACAAGGTGCAGCTGTACAGAAGTACTAAAAGATTCCTGTTGAAAGAAAAAGGGAAAAAGACACAAAGCCATTTAAAACATATACTAAGAACTTTTATCAATCCTTATCTAGAGTTTTTGAAGTTAAGATTTTTTTTGTGCTGGCGAGTTAGAAATTTGAAAACTTCCTTTTTCATTAAAGGTCTCACCAGCATAGTACCTGGAATAAGCCATAAAATATATGAAAAACTAAGATAGCCTAGTTCTTGGCTTGAGTGTATCATTATGGTAGCAAAATAATTCAAACATGAGTCAAACTTTATTACAGATTTCATGATTCTACCCAAAGATGTATACTCATAAAATATACCTCCCTAATTATTTCTTCAGTAAAGTTGTACTTTATGTATGAAGAAGATATCAAACACAAGGCAACAGCTTCAAATTAACACTCCTCTCAAAGGTCACAAAAGTGTCAACCTATGAATAGCATAGTTTTTGAGACTTTCAACACTGATTTTCCTGTTGTATTTTAAGGGGAAATAGAAAGATAGCTGCTCCATGTGAGCTGAACTTGAAAAGACGATGGGAGGGAAAGAAGATTGAATACACACAAACAACACACATCAGCAAACCTGATCATATTTATGAAGGAGTTATTAGTTTGTGTGAAGTAGGTCTCAATAAGGCATCCGATATAAAGAATGGACTAAAGCTGATAGTACCCATTTACACATCTGACCTTTCCTCTATTAGCTGCAAGTTCTGGATCTGAACCGGGTGATTTTCAAGTAATATATATTCAGAAAGATTCACTACCACCCCTCCCCTTCAAATGTAGGCTCTCTAACCCTGGCTAGCCTCAGACTCAGTATGTAGCTGAGGATGACCTTGAATTTCTGATCTTCCTGCCCCTAAGTCCCAAGTGAAGAGATGACAGGCCTGCACTACACACCCGCTTTCTTTATTTGGTATTAGAGTCCAAACCAGGGCCTTGTGCATACTAGGAAGGCACTTGCATCACTAAACTCAAACTACTTTTAATTGTCTAGCTGAAGATGAAAAATGTGGAGACAGAAAAACAGTTCCATTTCATAATAAAGACTCAAGAAGAAGAAAGAACAAATGCATCATCTCTACCTCACTTTGTCTTTTACTTTATAGGTAAAAAGATAGAGTTAGGGCAATATTATTTAGAACTGTAAAACATTTTCTGACAAAATATAATAAAGGTTAAATGTAAGAAAGGTGGTAGGTACAATTATTTTTTGTCAACTAAAAAGAAAAGCAAGTCCCTGTTGAACAGCCACTGCTCTGAAAGCTTTTTACTAATTGATTCATACCACTTAGCACTGTAATACAACACTCAATTCTAAAAAGAACACACACTTCTTTAAACTGTTTCACTTTCCATTATCTATCTATCTATCTATCTATCTATCTATCTATCTATCTATCTATTTATTTTTAGTAAGCTAAAGAAAAAGATCAGCAACTGTAAGATTAAACTAAAGAGTCATGAGACCTACTCTACTAAAATACTGAATGACCTGGAACAACCAATGGTCAGTCTTACTTATACTGTTCCTTTTGGTACAACTTTATATGAGTCATGCAATGACGACAGAAAATATTGAAGGAGAAAGTGAAACTTTAAAAAAAAAAAAAGACACACCACACCTTAAAGAAGCTAAAAGTAAATAGAAATTAATTTTTTTTCTGCAGAAATCCTCAACCTAGGGTAATAATTCACACTATAAAAAGATTCTGGCTTACAGGAAATACACATAATATTAATCGTTAAGCAGGTGAAGAACTTAGGCTAATATGTTAGAAAGCACGAAGAGTACCACAAAGGGAAAAGAGGCCTGAAAATTACAGACTACAATCGATGGAAAGCAATTCAATCAATTATAGTTCCTGTGAGTACATTTTCCATATTAACATCTACTGCTGCTTAATCTTTTCTTAATTTAAGGAAGGCTTCCTTATACTTTTAGAATATTCTTATTTTGAGCTTCAAAAGCAAAATTTGTAATGATCTTTTCTATATCCTGAGAGTATTTTCCAAATAATAAATAAATGTTAACTTTTCTGGATAAATATAAACTCCCATTTCTCCTTCATAAATGCCAACTTAAAATAAATTTAAAGGAAACCATGAGAAATATCTGACAACCTTTTGTAACTGCCTACCAATAACACAAAAAACACTTGAACCCACACTCGCCATCTGAACTTTGTCACAGACTTTATCATTTAGGCTGCTCTTCCTTAACTTAAAGTATTAGCCCTCTTTTGAAGGTAATGATATGTTTATAGTTTCCTGTCATATTCAGTATCACAAGTGAACTGAAATACATCAATTTTAAAAATTATTTTACCTCAGGGACTGAGGAAATAAGTTTGAGGACATGAATTCAATCCTTAGAACTCAAGTCAAAGGCTGCCCCAGAGAAAAGTCAAAGCCAACCAGGGCTACAAAAGAGGTACTGTTCAAGACCAAAAAAAAGGGGTCCATATTTTATTATAATTCTTGAGAAATAGGGAAAATTTTTCTCATTTCAATGTAACTTTTAAGTCATTTGTAAGTTAAGAATATGCCATGTTTTTTTCAAAGTTCATATAGGAATAGGAGCCATATACTAATAAAAGAAAATGCAATATAGAACTACAGTTATATTACTGAATGCTACAGTAATTTTCCAGTCGGAAACACAATATTGGGGGGAAATGCCAGCTTCTAAACCATTCATTTGTAACTACAAAGCTTGATCAAACTATGAAAACTGTTTCTATCACTGACTTAGGCATCATTCATACATATCTGTATGTCTGGGATTAAATAAATTTTATACATTAAGCAAGTGATGGTTATTATTAGGAAGAAACAAGGTGATTTGCTTGTTCTATAAGATAGACCACTAAAAAAAGTATTCTACTGAATAGTAGGTAAATTTCATATTTAAAAAAAAAACTAAGAGGGGGCAGTAAGTTCTTAGGAATATAAACATAAATCTTATAGCAAATATAACTGTAATTTAAACAGTTAAGATGTCAGCCTAACCACACATGCATATAAATTAGATCATTTCTAATAAAGGGGATTTTACAGTTTAGTCTTTTGTTTCAGTCTGGCTCAACCTGCTTTCTCTTGTCTCTGTCTCCTACATACTAGATTATCTATGTGTTCCTTCGGTACCAAATACACTTAGTATCATTCAAGGCTGTGGGCTAAGTTAATAGAAAGTTTATTTACTCACCACAGTCATAGAAACAGAACTATTAGCAAAAGAAGAACGGGGAGTATAGACCCACAAAAAGCGAATGTGAACAGAAATCAGAACTCTACTATGAGAGGAAAGTCAAACAATTAAAAAATGAAACATGGAAGCAAAAAACAGGATGCTTACTGCCCCTTCCACCCCAAGCACAGTACACCGAGCTGATGTCTATTATTAATACAAAGGACTTTACATGGCATAGGACTGCAAGTGAGATTGCCAGAGATGTGCTTTCAACATACAGTAAAAGATAGTTTTTGGTTTTTGAGACAGGATCTTGCAATACAGCTGAGGTTAATCTCAAAACACATAATCCTTCTGGTTCAGTCTCCCAAATACTGAGCCACAGGTATATGCCACCATAACCAACTAAGATTAGATTTAAGTACTGGATTTTTTGTATGCTGAAAGATGTCACTCTTTTTACATCAAAAACTGGGCCTTAAAAAAAGTAAAGCTGAAACAATAAAACACACAAACATTAATTCAGACCATGCAGTATAAGCTAAAGCATAAACTATCGAGAAGCCACTTCCCATGCAGGGTCATGTGTTAGGCTCTTCACCTGACTTACTATTAGTGCATTTCATTTTGAAGGATGCTTGTGCTGTGGCTAACTGTTCAAGTCTGGTGCTGACTGCTGTTCTTAGCCATGACAAAACATTAAATTCATATAACTGGAGCTTCCTGCTGCTCCCCAGAAATGGTGGGAATGCTCAGATTGTATACTCCCTAAGCATATTCAAATAAAAAGAAACTATTGCTACTATTTAAAAAAAGAATGACAAAAAGTTAATTAAGCTACTTTTTGTTCTATACTTGCTATTTTCATTCTTTGTATCTAAGAACATAAAGACTGATTCTAACTACATTAAAAGCCCATGAGAGTAAATCTTCACAACAGTAAAAAATTGTTTTAAAAAAGAAAACAGCCAGAGGCCAGAGGCTCTTATCATAGGTTGTTCTAGCAGATGACCCACAGGATACTGGGAGATCCACTATGCTATCTGGGAACCTGTATTAGGTAGCATCCCATGTGTGCATCATAACAACTAGTACTGAAATACAAGGATATCAGTTTACCTCAATTATCACAGATTTATTTAAAATGATGTTGCACGTCAAGCATACTTGTATTTTCTGTACAACAATGAATAACTTCTTTAAAGAAAATCAGGAACTTGATGACAACAGAGTGGAAGAATATGAGAACAATGAAAAAGCATCAAAATGCCTATGAATGATGACTATGCACATTACTTCATCCGGGTTTCTCTCAACTGAAATAGTACATACTAAACTCCTGCTAGCAGCACACTTTATTTTCTATCAATTTCATGAAAATTCTTAGTATTATAAAAACAAGATAATATACTACTGTTACCTTTTGGTTTACTGCTTAACAAAATGATGCAAAATGTGAAAAGATTATCCAATTGTTCAGCTTAATTTTCCCCTCTTTTCAAAATACAAATACACTAAGCTGAAACTTTTCTCAAGTATTAACTAAACACAAATGTTCTAAAATTATATAAAATAGCATGAAGAAAACTGGAGTATGGTCAAATGGGCCTTGACCAACTGAGTATATGTGGTCCATATTAATATAGCCATGCATAACATGCAAGAAAAATTCAAACATCAACATAACTGACCAGATTATATACCAATAACCAAAAAGTACCAGAACTTTCTGAAAAAGTGAACAAAGTATTTAAATATTCTAGAGGTCAATGCTTCAGTCTATATAGAAAATATTATTTAGCTTTATAACTTTCATATTTACATTAATACTGAATATAATAATTCTATATATAATCGACATACTATGTATTATAATAATTTATAAGAAACACTTACTGGGTAAATTTTTTGGAGGGATGGAAGGATGGGTTCAGGTAGGGCTATAAAAAGAAAAAGTTCAAAGCTTCTGTGATTCACGTGATTTATATTACAATGCAAAATTTTGTCAGTTATACCCCAGGTATGAGACCACAAGGGTTGATACTAAAATTCAAATTTTCATGTCTTTCATGAACACAGCTCCTAAATTTTTTAATTCATTTAACAATCTAAGGTTCTGTTAATGACCTATGTATCTTCCTATGTGAATCAATTTTTCCTACAACGTTTCAGAGTAGGACTCTACCAATAACGGTACACAAATCATTCAATTAAACATCAAACACAAACAAAATAGGCAAGGCAGAATTCTTCTACAGATTTTGAACTCCACATAATCCTACAGGTTAACTACCAAAACATCTAATCTTAAGACTGAGTTCAGGGTTCTTATACCATTAGTTCAATGATCCTGTATCATTAGAGAACACTGTCATTACTGTCCCTTTATTATTTAATTTCTATCAACAAGCAATATTAAAATTATGATAAGAAAATTTAGCTATTTAAAAATCAAAACTGAAGTCACCTCCAATTTCATAACACTGTTTAAAGAACCTCAATAAAGATTAGGTCAGGAGATTTGCACAGCCATCCTAGAAATATAAATAAAATATATCACAGGGGAACCATTATCCTGTTACCCTCATTTAAAATTAAATTTCTTTCATTTTTCCAGGCAAGGTCTTACATAAACCAAGTTTGTCTCAAACCCACTATTTAGCTGAGGATGACCTTGAATTTTGGGTCTTCAGGCCTCAATCTCCCAAGTGTTAGAATCACAGAAATGCACCCACATGCCCCTGTTCTGGATTGAGTACTGGGAATAAAACCTATGGCTTAATGCATGCTAGAAAAACACTCTATCAACAAAGCAATATCCTCAGGAAATTCACAATTCAATGATTAAGCAAACCTAATCTCAATAAATGCATAAACAATAATCTCACATCATTATAAATGTAATGCAAAAGACATAACCCTACAGTATGTGGAGTATGATAAAATACCAGTGCTTTAATTCCAAGATTTTTTTCATATTAGTGACCAAATACAGCAGTATACAATGAAATCTGTACTTAAGAATAGGGTCTACATATAATTGAAGCTCAGTAAGAAAGAATACCTAATACTTTACTACCTAGAAAAAGAATTTAAATGATCTCTGTACTATATTTACAAATAATTAAGTATTATAACTAACTTATATAACCTTCAACTCTTTGTTTCTAAAATGTAATATGATATAGTTAAATTTCCCTTTTGTATGCTGTATTACTAACTTGAAAATTGCAGGGAAATAAAATTTTGCAACAGGAACATGTGCAGAGTATGAATGGGACTATAAAGACAAATATTTAATTTACTACTTACCAAAATTACCCTGACATGTAATGATATATACAAGCACAGTCAATACACTTTTACCCAGAGGCATTCAGACATCATTCTACAAGACCCTCCATGTAAACTCAAGCCCAGACACTTTAATTCTATATCTCTCTATATTTTTACAACACTTTTAATGTTTTTAATAAATTTCAATAAATGTGACTCTCTTACCAGGAATTAGTTTACTTAAAATTTCTTCCATTAAATACTTCATAAATTAAAATTATTATAAAAAAGAAGACAAATTCACAAAGAATTTTTTTTACATTCTAGAACCATTATTTGGAAGGACAGGGGAGAAAAATATCAACCTCTCATCTTAGAGCCATTCAAAGAACAAAAGAACTTTTAAAACTAAGGAATTTAGAAGGTTTTGGAAGTAAAGATATTATGGTGGTTCTAGTGAGAATGGTCTTGAAAGACTTGTATATTTGAATACATTTCCCACTTGTTGGAACTGTGGGAAGGATTAGGAAGTATGCTCTTAGAGGAGGTATGTCATAGGAGTGGGTTTTGTGTGTCTGTGTGTTCCTGTTGCTATGCTTTTGTTCCACCATCATGGACTCTAACTCTCTGAAACCATAAGCCCAATTAATTGCTTTCTTTTATAAATTACCATGGTTATGGTCTTTTGTCATAGCAACAGAAAAGTAACTAAGATACTGGTTGATACCAGGGAGTGGGCTATTGATGTGTCAGACCTGACCATAAGTTTGTTTTTGGAGGAATGTGGATTTGGGACTTAGTTCCAGAGAAGTGGTTTAATGCTCTTAAGTAGATGTTAATGAACCATTCTAGCAGGATCTTGGAAGGCAGTAGTACTGAGAGCTATGCTGACTGTCAAGACTCAAGAAGTTTCAGAGTTGAGCAATATTACTAACTAGGCTAGAAACCATTCTTGTACTATTTTGTTAAAGAATATGACTGCTGTTTGTTGTCCTATGAATTCTCTTGAAGCTAAATAGAAAAATAGCAGACTAATTTCTTTGACAAAGATTTCAAAACAACCTAATACTGACAATGTGATATGGCTATCGATTGTTTCTCTTAAGCACTTCCTTAATGAAAAAAACATTTGGAGAAAAAAAAGAAATACAAAATATACAGTTGAAGTGGGAAAAGCGCACCAGGAAAGTTTATGTAGGAGCTAAGGCTATGATAAAAGAGATGAAAAGATCAAAGACAGGCTGGTATGGAATGGAATAGAGGGAAAGGGTGTCCTCAAGACAAGACCCCCAAGTAGCTAAGTTTACAACTTGCAAAAAAGAAATACCTAGAAAATTTTCTGCTCCCAAAAAGTAACAACCAAGGAAAACTGTGAATGTGATTCAAGGGAGCCTAGCTCCATCCCAAGCAGGTGGTCAAACTTGGCAGTGTTGTTCACATGGTTCTGGCTTTAGAAACAGGAAGGATTCATGAGTAAAGAGCAGTTAGGCTGAGACGATAAACCCAAGCGTGTCCCAGGGAAGTACCTGCATAGAAACCTGGAGAAGCCAATCAAAGTTATCAAAGTGAGGACAGGACTGCATTGGAGACCCCAAGATGTTGGAAATACCAGAATCAAGAGACATCACCAAGGAGAGCACACAAGGAATATAACCAGTCCATGAAAGATGTATGTGTCAGGCAGCACAGAAAGAATGGCAGAGGCAGCTAAGCCCTTTGACATCAGACACATAGTTACAGGGTTTCTTGCTTTGGTCCAGTATTTCCTATGTCCCCATTTCTCCCTTTTGGAATGGTAATGTATATAGTCTGTGTCACTATATGTAATTGGAAGTATATAATTTGCTTTTTGAAAATGAAGAACAATTTTAAAATAGCATTTCTTATGGTATATGGCCTTTTAAATCTATCAATATTTAGAACAACTGTTTCCTTCATGGCAAAAAAAATATGTATTAGAACATTTAGAAAGTTAAATAATAATCATTATCCAACAATTTATATTATAAGTAAGAATATGACGGTCAGGAAGATGAAATAATGTTATCAATTTCACAAAAACTAGTCCTTTGTGCCAAAGGTTGAACCGCTTCAGTCTCTTGCAGGTCATTTTCTCTCCCAATAAGGAGATAACAACAAAGAAAACAATTACCTATCTCATCAATATTTGGAGGGGGGCGGGCAGTAGTAGATTACTTAAAGTTGGCCAATGGAGTTACACATCATAGAACTATTTTTACATACAAATAGTTGCTAAGAGTGTCATTATACACGGACAACTTCAGTAAGAAACCAAATCTTAAAATAACCTTATTATTCTAGTAAAATATTAATTCTTGATAAATTTTCAATTTGTTTGACGAACCACCTTAAAGTGCCTCCACTTAAAATACATTTGCTAACAATGCACTTAACCAATTAGAATTTTAATGTGACCAGTAAGGACAGGGGACAAGGCATATATCAGATGAACATTTACATGTATCAGAGATACATATAGTAAATATATCAGAACATACAGTAAATATATCAGAGATGCAGGCATGTTAGAAAGTAAATGTGATTTATGAATTACTACCAAAATTAAAATGACTCAACTCTGGATGATACTATGATTTCTGTATTGTCTTTATAGTATTTATAAGAAACCCTTTGAATTCTTAATAAATATGAACTATCAGGCAAAAGATGAGAGCAGTTCCGAAAAACTTATCTAAGAGATGATACAACTGAACATCGGAAAAAATGATTAGTGACAGAGATGTACAGAATAGATTAAAACAACATACATCACATTTCAAATAATTTTGAAGGAGTGAATCAATCATTAAGTCAACATATAACCAAGACAATGACCAACAAACACAATTTGTGATTGGCATAAGACGCTTTAACAAGCGTTTCTGACAACTCATCTAGAAAATGTTTGGTATACTTAAACAATTTTAAGTCTTAATTCTTTTGAAGTCTATTTTCAAATGAAAGAAACTATCTTGTTTAATATAGAAAACACCTACCCAGTATATAGTAAATATTAGATAAAATTCTAATTTTCTATTAAAAATTGGAAAAAAAACATTACTTCTTGGTATTTGCATACATATAAATGTATACAAACATAGTCATTCTTTAAACAAAATTATTGGTATTATGTTGTATAAGACAATTCGTCAAGAGTATCTTATCCTTAAAAATCTTAAAAACATGATGGTAGTGACTATATAGTTTTCATTTTAACCATTCTTAATTTAACCATTCCACTCTTGAAAGCTCAGATTCCTTCTTCTATTAACTCAATAAACACTATAAAAATATTTTTATATGTAAATCCATTGATCATTGTCTTAGGATAAATCTCTGAGAAAAAAAGTAGAGTCAACATATATGAACTCTGTTACCTCTTTCAGAATCTAAATGCAGACAGTACCAAACAACACAATAAACCTTTTTCTAAACCACTACACTAGAATAGTTGGTTAAGACTACATGGTACTGATAGTGATCTATCAGTAACTTCCCTCACACAGGCAACTTACATATGATAGTAAAAGGTAACATTTTGTTAGTATCCCACCAGCTTTAACAGTTGTCAATAATGCTTATGGTCCTATTCGTTTGTTTTTTTTGTTTTGAGACAGGATCTGGCTATAAAGCTAAGACTCTTCTTTCCTAAGCCACCAAAGTGCCAGAATTACATAAATGTACAATTAAGTGTGTTACTCAGTAAGAGAACATCTCAGACTCCTAGTTGTGATAACTATAATTTCTCTTTAACTTCCCTTAGCATCTAGCTGAGTAAAATATGTAGATTATATTATTTATTGGACTGTGTATACAAAAGAAAGGTTCCATCCAGAGCGCACCAGTCTGTGCTATATTTCTGGGGAACCTTCACTACTACGTTATAAAAGGGTAAAAACTATAAGTGATCACTTACTATAATTACCAGTAAGCACAGAATATATAGCCTTATCAGAATGACCTCATAAACAATGCTAATTGCTTTTAATTAAATTGGTTTAAAATCTGGAGACCAATTTGGAACTTGAGAGCTGATCTGGAGGTACATCAGGGGACTAGAGCTTTTGTATATCCTTGAGTCAAGAATGGTCCTCCTGTTTCAGAGAAAGTCATCTTCTCAGATTGTGCAGTTCTAAAAGGGATACACACGAAGGAGCATGGGAAGAGAGGGTAGACAGCCACATTATCCAAATAAACTAGCAACAACAGGGTGACAATGTCTCAGCCTGGCTACCCTCACATCCTAGAGGATAATCGAACAGAATAGCCCAAAGTAGCATAAATTCTAATTGGAATTAATAATAAAAACCCAGAGTCAGATATAGGATTAGTTAATGCTGAAGATCAGAGAAGCAGAGTGGCCATCCACTAGAGAGTTCTTACCTCTGACAATGCTTAGACCAAAGGGGCGATCCTGTCCTCAGATTGCACCTCCAGACTTATTGCCTAGATGGCACTGCTCCTCAGACTGCACTGAGCGCCTGTCTCATACAACCTTATATTCCTCTCTACCCAGCCATAGCATTCCTGTCTCCACTTCTCTGGTGCTGGGAGTAAAGGTGTGGGATTCCAAGTAGGATAACCTTTGTATTTCTCTTTTGGACTGGATCAACTATATGTAGCTCAGGGTAGTCTTGAACTAACAGAGATCCATCTGCCTCTGTCTCTCAAGTGCTGGGATTAAAAGTATGCGCCACCACACCCTGGAATCTAGTGACTTAGCTCTGCACTCTGATCTTCAGGCAAGCTTTATTTGTTTAAGCACAAACAAAATAACACCACAGCCCAGCAAACATAAAACCTAATTGAGGAGAAGGAGCCAAAGTGGACAGATTATAAACTCTTTGGCCAGAATATCATTTAATTTCTGTTTGATAAACCCCAGCCCATAAGGACCTCCAACCACCAGGCCCCAAGCTCAGTCCTACACAGGTCATCAAATTCCACCAATCTCTGAGTTCTCCCCAAGATCAGGCCACAACATCCCACCATTCCCAGGCCACCCTGGAAAATGCTACCCCCAAGAAGTCCTATATAAAAACTACCCCTTACTCAGTTCTCTGCTCCCCGTGGGAGGTTTGTTGTGCAATGTGACTTTGTGGTATTTCTTAGCTCTCTACTGCCAGGATACCTTTCCTTTCAGCACTGATTAACACATTGGGGACACCTTTCCCCTCAGAGCTATAACACGTCTCAAATAAAAAATAGTCTTTCTGATCACTCATCTGTTGCAAGACAGTGGCTCAACAATACAGTGGTGAAAGTTCTTTAAATATAAAAGTGCAATAAGCACTATCAAAAGATAAAAAACATATTAAAACTTCTTTACAATGTTTTTCAGAGAATAAAATTTCTGAAATATCAGTTCAAGGCAACAAAACAGGATAAAAAAGTTGTATAGACCTTAGAAACAAAACTTTTTAAAACAATGCAAACTGGAAATGAGCAAAAAAGATACTGGAATGAGTTTTATTTGAATTTCAGTTTTAAAAAGTGAAAAACTCCCATAATACTTACTTTGTAAGTAGTGCAAAACCATCAATACAAGACTGTAGCTGCTTAAAGTACCGCGACTGGCGTCATTTATATCATGGTGACTTGCCCACTTCTTAATCACCAGCACTAACGGACGAACTCGATTTTCAACTGCAAGTAAAATTAACACTTAAAAATGATACCAGTTTCTTTGAAAATCTATATAATTTCCTAATTCTATGACAGTAAGAAACACTGCGTCCCTCCATAAAGGCAGAGCTCACTCTCAGTGTAATACAAGCTTCCCTTAGTTACTTCTAAATCACCATTCAGTTAAGAACATTTGATTCATCTATAACTATCGTAGCATATGATTTTACTATAGCAACATATTATCAAAAAAAAATAATAAACCATATAACTAAGCACAATGGGGTATTGCTACTTATTGTACATATAGTTTAAAAGTCATAAAAGGAAAAACAAAAGTTGAAGGTTATTTAGAAACAAACAAAAACTTACGGTAGGCATAAGTTCTGAGAAGGAATGTGTTTCTAATTCCAACAGTATTGTTTACATTTAAGTCAAATTCCACACAACTATTTAAAAGAACAAAGGAAAATACATTTTAGCACAAGTACAAAAATTCACTCTTTCTATTAACTAAATTAATTACAATCAATCCACTGATGCAACATGAATTGAAAAGCCATAGACTGTGGTTTTAAAATGAGTCACGAAAGAAAGAAAAATATATACATAGTACGTCATTTAAAGTTATTTGGTGTATATTAAAAATATAAACTAAGATTACTCTTAAAAGGTCCATATATACTGATGGTTTCTAATTACTCCAAATGAAGTTTTAAATGATGTAATGCTTCACAAGACCAAAATATTTTTTGTAAACCATCCCACTAAGGTATATCTTACAAAGCACAGGTTTACCTACTTTCAATGATACAAATAAAAAGCTAAATAAAATGCAAATTTAAAAAAAACTGCATCTATATATCATATTCCCTCTAAACTGGCTGAAAATTCTATGCAGGTGCTGATGATCTGGGAGTAATGCAACATTCAAAGCATCACCAATAGGATGCTTTTATGAAGGAAAGATATTCAACTTGCAACTCAGAAAACAGGGCAATTATTGTTAGAATCTACAAACAAGAATTACTTTACATAAATTAGTTCCACTTATATTCTATTGGTCTAATTTCTTTAAATACTACAGTTTTCTATGGAAAGACTACCAAAAGGGAAGGCAAGATGACTCAGGGAGTAAAGGTGCTTACTTCCAAGACTGACAACATAAGTTCAATCCCCGAGAACCAATGATGGAAGAAGAAAACTAAGAAGTAACTTCTGCATATACACCACAGTGTGCAATACATGCATGTGTGGTCACACATACACTAAATAAACGCCCTTCCAAAAAACATTATCAAAAATAAAATGCCAGGCTTATGATGATAAAAGGATGCCTCTAACCCAGCACTTGGGAAGCCAAAGCAAAATTGAGAATCTGAGGTCAGTCTGAGCCATGTCCAAGATCTTATCTCAAAATAAATTAAAAATCCCCAAAGTTCATCAATTAATTCCTTTCTTTATGTTATTACAAAATCTGAACTTTACCTTGTTTATTCTTTTTTGGAGAGCCCAAAAATATTACAAACATCCTCTCATTTCTATTCATAGACTATAGATAGTGGTGTTAGTGTTACCAAGATATAAGCAGTTAGCTTTGGAAAACTTATACTGACAATATTTACAATCTTTATGCTTGGGTAAGAAACACCAAGGTCAATTTAGATACCCTCTGCAAAATGCAACACAACCATATAGGTAGAGACCGCAGAATTGAATCTTCTGAAAGGGGCTGAAGAAACGTGTTGGCGGTAGATTACTTACTTGCCTGCACACCTAACGCCCTATGCAAACGTTCTCCAGCACTAGCAAAAAAATAATTTTCCAAAAATATGAATTGAATATCCATTTGTCATGTTTTCTCCACAGGACGTATCACAGGTTTCTCACAAGTATGAACTACTAGAAAGTAAAGTTTAAGAGCATTCTAAATAGTGAAAAGGTGCTAATTAGACTATGAGAAAGGGCATTTGTCTGAGGTATGAGAAAGCTAAAACAAAAAGTCAGAATGTCATCTTATTCAACCTAACTTTGGAGCACAGGTATTAAACTAACCCCAAATTTTTGTCACATCTTAACAATACAGAAAGACAAAAGAAAAATTTAAAAAGAAAATAATTCTTAAATGTAAAATCCATAAATAAGAAAGCTCAATTCTGTATATAATATATACATGCATATAATTTCAGTGTTATCACTATAAATAGCTAGAAAAATAAACCTGCTTTATCACAATCCTATGTTTAGAAAATAGTTGATAAATCTTTTCAACAAATCAAATACAAATCCACACTTAACTTTTCTTATTCTGCTTGCCTGTTCATTTGCTTTGGGACAGACATTCACTAGTAGCCCACACTGTACTGGAACTCATCATCCTGCGGCCTCCAACTCGCAGGGCCACAATTACAATGCTTGATTGAACCATTTGTATTTTATACTACAAATATCATGTAAGAGCTTCTAATATAATATTTTTAGGAAATCAAAATCCCGGCTAGGAGAATATAAAGAAAAATCTAAACTTTTGAAATTGACTAAGTGTTTTTACAGCTTTTTGTATATTATTCCCTGTATGCTTCATATCTTTCTCTAAGAGATATATATAATTTGTTTAATGATACTTAAAGTTAGAACAAACCCTTTTGATATAAATACACACTAAATTTTATCAAAGATAGGTTTTGGGAAAAGAATTATTTGTCCCAAAGACATGAAATCTTTTACATTTTAAACAAGGTTCTCACTACATAACCTGATTGGCCTGGATCTCATTGTAAAGACTACTGGTTCTCAACCTTTAAGTCAAGACCCCTTTGTGTTCACCTAAGAACCACCTGCATATCAGATATTTACATTATGTTTCAAAACAGTAGCAAAATTAAAGTCATGAAGTAACAACAAAAAAAACTTTATGGTTGGGGGTTACCCTAACATGAGCAACTGCATTACAGGGTCACAGCATTAGGAAGGTGGAGAACCACTGGTATAAACCAAGATGGATCTCTGGTTCAAACTCAGAGAAATCAACTTACAAGTGTGTGTCACATGCTGGGCTCCAAGAAAATCATTTTCAAATCCAAATACTTTTTTATATTGGACAGTCCCAAATATTCAAAATTCAAACAGAGTAGATAAATCAGTTAGGCATGAAGGTTGCCCAGATCATTTAAAAAATAATCTAAAAGACGATGGGTATAGTGGCACACAGTACAATCCCAGCATTCAAAAAGTGGAAGCAGAAGAATCCAAAATTCAGAGCTGTCCTCAGCTATATAACAAATTCACAATGAGCCTGATTAATGAACCTGTCTCAAATAAATAAATAAAATTATATATATATATAAAATTATATTATATATCATATATATATATGAAAATTATTTCTAGAACATTGAAGATAAGCTGCTATGCTATAACCTATTTGGTTTCTTGGCAATCCACATTAGCCACAGTACATGACTGTCCAAAGTTAATCTACAGCACCTGAAAAAAAGAGGGACTGGTAATTATTTACCTGACTTTATCCCTGAACTTCACAATTGGCACTTTTGCACGAATCAGCTGAGGTCTCTCAATGTAGCCAGCTGAAGGAGAAAAGATAATGTGAATATCTACCAATGTTTTCCCACTCACAATATACTAAAGAACAGTTTTAAAAGCAGTATTTTTCAAAAATAAAACCAACTTAAGAACATGCATGCTGTCCTTGAAAAATAAAGTGAAGAGTAAGGACACAAAGAGTTCCAGGAAGCCAGGGCTGAGAACCTTTGAGAAAAAGAAAGAAGAGACAGAGAGAGAGAGAGAAAGAATGATAGACAAATATCAAGACCGTCTAAGGATCAAGTCTATACTACTGAAGGTGTTTTATTTTCAAAAATACAATCTTAATATATAGTAGTATCTATAATGACATTTATTGGAACATCTGAGTGAAAAAAATAGCTAAAAATAAAGAATAACTAAATTCTGGTATGACTCACAGAAATAGTAGCCATAGAAATGTTGTAATATGCAAGTGCTTGCAACTTGGTAAGGCAAGAGTACATTCAATTATGCATGATCTCAAAAAGGATAAAATACATAAACATAAACACATTTTTAATTTCATCAAGGTATAAAAATGTACTGTAGAAAATAATACATGCAAATTGCAAAAAAATTAGAAACTTTTAGAATTAAAGCTGAAAAGGTATCTCAGTGGTTAAGAGCACATATTGCTCTTCCAGAGGACTTGAGTTCAGACCCTCGTACCCATGTAGGGCAGCTCCTAACAGTCTGCAACTCCAGCTCAGTTGGATCCAACACCCTCTCTGGTCTCTACAGCACCTGCACTGTGCACATACCCACATACAGACACATAATTAAACACAAAAGAGAATTTTTTTTAAAAAATATGCAAACTTTTATGAATATTCTAAATTTTTAACTATAGAAAAGGAAAATACCAGATTTTCTTTCTTAAAAGCTAAGAACATTCTTGTTAGGGTTTTTGGTAGGGAAGGTAAAATTTCATGTTTTCCTCCAATATACATGCAAGACCACATGCATGTGAGTCTGTGTGTGGAGTCCAGAGGTCAAAATCTAGTATCTTCCCTCTTCAACTTTTTTTTTTTTTTTGAGATAAAACATCAGTGAACCTGATGCTCAATAATTGGACAGAATGGATGGTCAGAACCAGGCTCCCCATCTCTGCCCCACCTTTGCCCTTTAGTGCTAGAGTTATACACATAAAATATCACACCCAGCATTTTTCACATGGGTGCTAGAGATCTGAACTCAGGTCCCCGTGTTTACCCAGTAGGCACTTATCTATTAAGCCATTCCTCTCCTCTAGACCCAAGCAAGATGTTCAAAAATTTCCTCTGAAATCTCTATCCAATATCAGGCAAGCTACCTGACTACGTGACAGAGAAAGGAGAGCAAAACAGAATAAAGGAACAGACTACTGCCAAAGGGGACTACTCCTACTCGTCTCACACTCTTGGTTGTGGTTTAACTCTCTAAAGCTTTCACTAAGGTGAAACTTAAACTATCTCAAGGTTTGTAGACTAGTGTAAATATTCTGTACCTCAAGATTTGCAAGCATATGATTAAAAATCTGCAAAATCTGTAACAAAAAGGTTAACTTAAAACTTGGTAGTAAAAACATCTATAGATACATGATCTTAAAGGAAACGTGTGGTTTGCCTTCATCTTAGCAGCTGTCCCCACATGGGAATGGCAGTCAGCCATCTTTATAGGGTTGGAAAGGATGGATTTTTGTCATGTAACTTCACTCCTATCTTGATTAAAACTGACTACATTTTATAAGCCAACTAAGAAAAAAACAACTCCACAATGAAGCCCAAACTAAATGATTCCTCCATTATTTTCAGTCACACTAACCCCTTTTGGCCTCAACCCACAGTCACTTTTCCCCCTCTCTGGTCTCTTTGGTCCCTGTCTCCCTTAGTGACAGGCCACCTGAATTGACATTCCCTGGCACCTATTTTTAGTTCACCAGCAGTTCTCTTGCTACTTCTTCTTGATCCACTTTGGGACCCCCCCCTCCTCTATCTGGACTAAACTGGCCATGGTTCTCCCCTTGCAGGAAGTTGCCTGGGTGGACCACTTGGTAAGGGTACACGCCCACTTTTCATTAAGCAAACTCTCAAATAGAAAAGAGATTGTGGTCCTGCATTGCTAACTCTTCCACCTTTATTAAAGAATTCCAATATATTACCCAATCTTACAACCTCACCTTCCGTGATGTTTATATGATTCTCACCAACACTGAGGAGCACAGGCGAGTCTAGGGTCAGGCCAGAGCACATGCAGATGAAGTCCAGACAACTTGCCTCCTGGCCTGTCTCCGTAAGCCTGGCCTTAAAGTTCTACTTCTTCTCCCAAAGTTTCCCTGACATTAGGGCCAAACTTAGGGAAGGAGCCCCTGACTCTCCTTAGCGGTGGCCTTCAAAATGTACCATGGAAGAGATGAAAACGGTCTGAAAACAAAAATAACTGATACTAGCTAGGGTCTTTTGGCCAGTTATAGCAACTTACCAGGCTCCCTTGCCTCCCAAAACCCAAGGACCTCAGGATCTATGCCTAAAATGTGGTCAGGAAGGTCAGGAGGCCTGGATTTGCCCAAGCCCTCATAAACCACCTCAACCGTGTCCAAAGTGCCACTGCCCCCCTGTGCTTCTTCACATGATGATATCAAGCCCAGATTGCTCTCCAGCCAACTTCCTAGGTCTGGTCTAGGGGTCTGGGCTCCCTTGGCCCAACCACAGTCATCTCTGACGGGAGCGTGCAGCAGTTAGCACAGTTATCACAGTATCAGGGGATTTATCTCCTTCCCTCTTGACCCCGGGGTCACCTGTTCAGCCCTAATGTTTTGGGGAACTACCTTTCCTTCTCCTTCCCCTATTGTTGGGTGGGGTTGGGAGATAGTCTTACCAATCTCACCAAACCCCACCACCTAGTTGCATTTTTAGGGGAATCCCCCTACTTACTCCATCCTAGTGGTACCAACCTGTATCATCCCCTTACTGGGAAAGGACCTCTTAGCCAAAGTGGAAGCCTCTCAATCCACTTGACTTGAGGTTCACAGGCTGTAACGCTCCTCCTTCCAAACCACACAATCTAATACACCATTCCCTTTACCAACCTCCCAGGGGGATCCCTGAGTATTAGACACCCCAAAACCCTGTATAGCCAAACATCATTCCCCTCTTGTCATCCAATTGCAAAACCCTACCAATTACATCACCCAGGCTTAATACCCACTTTCTCTCCAAGTCTCGGGGTCTTGAGGTTCTCATCTCTGACCTCTTAAGAATCTTCCACACCCCACTTCTCCTCCCTTTAGTACTCCCATATCCGTGCTTTAAAAACCCAATGGAACCTTCTGCTTGGTTCAGGACCTCTGACTTACCAATTCAGCAGTGGTTCCCCTTCACCCTGTAGTACACCCAACCCCTATACTCTCCTCTCCACCATCCCCTGAAGGAACTCCCATTTTTCTGTCCTGGACCTCAAGGATGCCTTCCTTCCCATCCCTCTCAATCTCTAGTCACAAACTATCTTTGCCTTTACTAGGACTAACCTAGATACTCACCTTTTTACCCAACTCATCTGGACCATCGTACCCCAGGGATTCCAGGACAACCCACATTTATTTGGCCAGGCTCTAGCCTCTGAGTTACTCTCTTTGTCTCTTCCTAAATCCAAGCTTTCAAATACATAGATGATCTTCTCCTTTGTGGTCCACACATGCAAACTAGCCAGGTAAACATCTCTACCGTATTAAACTTTCTGTCCAGGCAGCAATACAGGGTTCCATCCCCTAAGGTCCAGCTGTCCACTCTGTAGGTTATTTTGGGATTAGCTATTACTCCAACTCACAAGGTCATTACCCTAGATAAAAAGCCTCTAATCCAGTTGCTTTCAGTCCCTACCACCAAGGACAAAATTCTATCCTTCCTAGGGATAGCTGGCTTTTTATGCTCTTGAACTCCTTCTTCCTTCTCTCCTACCCTTCACATGAGCTCCTCCTTGTGTCCATTACCAAGCCTTTTAGTAAGTTTCAACAGGCCCTCCTCTAGGCCCCAGCCGTACCTCTTCTGGAATTAACTTGCCCTTCTCTCCCCACGTTACAGAAAAGGAGAGATATGCTGTCTGGGTCCCGAGTCACCAACTGGGATCTTCCTTTGTGTCCACTAAACATTTATCAAATAAAATTAGACCATATATTCAAGAATGGGCACCTTGTCTAAACACTTTGGCAACAGCAGAACTTCTTACACATGAATCAAAGAATTGGGTCACCAATGACTCACTGTCTTCTCTCCTTGCCACTGTCTTTTCCTACCTTCTAACTCACAATGCTCTCAAACACTAGTCCTTTTCCAAGTGCTCTCTCTTCAGGTAGCATTACTAGAGGACATTACACTTACCTTTCAGTCATGCCCACCTTTGACCATTTCAAATATCCTCCCCCAACCAATTCAGAATACTCCCCTATCTCGCACTTCAGTTGATACCCTAAAGAGACATTACCCAGTCCCTAGAGACCCCAGGCAGCCAAGGTTTACCCAACGGAGTAAAAAGTCCAAGATCAGGCCACAAAAATCCCACCAACCCCAGGTCACCCTGGAAAGCTCTGCCCCCAAGAAACCCCATAAAAAGCCTGCCTCCCACTCAGATCTCTACTGCTTCTCTCCCAAACAAAGGTATCCAGTGTCCTGTGTTTTTTGTGAGGTTTGTTGTGTGGACTTTGTGGTATCCCTTGGCTCCCAATTGCCAGGAGACCTTTCCCTTCAGTGTTGTAACCTTACATTTTCTATCACACTTCTGGCTCTGGTTCTTCAGCTGCCTTACAGCTCATCCATGCCTATCTTCCTGAAGGTCTATAAACTTCTGAGAGGAAGGAGGGAAACCTAGACACCTTCTCAAGATGCATTCAATACAATAGTTTTCAAGTAAGTTCAACAATGATTTGCTAAATCACGATTTTTAACCAAAAGTGAAAAGTAGCCAAAAGTTAAGAGAAGATGGGCATAATGGTACACACCTGTCACCACAGAATTCAAGAGCTTGAGGCAGGAGGATCACAAGTTCAAGGTCAGCCTGGACTATCTAAATTTATAGCAAGATCCCATCTTTAAAAGATAAAGTTTAAAAGAATTTGGTTAGAAGAAAACAATCCACAATATATCTAGTCTCATTAGAAAATAAGCAACTCTTCCCAGAAAAATGAAGTGGTCAACATTTTAAATACTAGTTAAGTCAGAGGCATTAAGACTTACACAGTCGAGTACAGAAGTGTTTATGGACTAAGGTGAGTATATGGCGGGCTTCAGTCTTCTGATTCACCTGAAAAAAACACTGAAAAGTTAAAGTGTTTTTTCATTATTTTTCCTTAGCTTAGTGTTTGATTTTTAAAAAAATAACACAACAGCAAAACACAAAACATATTTTTCTTTCAAAATACTTTTCAAATTATACACTATAGAAAGTCAACCCTCAATGCTTATCTTTCAGATTCACATTTCAGAATCAAATTTTTTTAAACTGAAAAGAACCATGTCATTTTTCTCTTCTGTATAAATGGTGTTTAAAAGAAAAACAAAAATCAAAACAAAAAAAACCCTACTCTTCCAAAAGAGTTTAACAAAATCTTAACTTTGCAACTTGTTACTTCCTTATCAAGAATGTGAAGGGCTTATGGATTACATACAATGTAGAGCCAATTTGTATATAAGCTGTGGCAGTATGACTTAAACATATGATGAAGACCATAGAGCTAGTAAGACATGCTTGAGTATAGTCTTGTAGTCTAGCTGCATGGCTTACAATCTCCATTATACTGAGATATAAGGGGTTCTTTGCTTGGTTTTTCCCTTTCTTTACCTTTATATTATCTCAAATCACAGAAATACAGAACATTCCTTCTGGAATAAACCTATATCTCTTTTATAACAACAAGGAGAATAAAATTATACTTCAAAAGTTTTTTTTTTCTTTTTTTTTCTTTTTGAGACAGGGTTTCTCTGTGTAAGAGCCTGGCTGTCCTGGAAACTCTCTTTGTAGATTTGGTTTACCTTGAACTCACAGAGATCTCCCTGCCTCAGCCTCCCAAGTGCTGAGATTAAAAGTGTGCCCCACCATGCAAAGCTTGTTTTCTATTTTTAATGATATAAAAAAATAGTACAAAATATTAAAATTATACTCAATTTAGTCAAAATGTTTGGTAGTTTAAAGCAGACCTCAACAACTACAAGAGGCTGTAGTAAGTTTACTGAATATCTATTATGATAATACTAAAATATAGTCAAAAGATCAGTTAACAGGAAATCCAAATAACTATAATTATAAATAATACAATTTAGTTATTAAATAAAATAAACCAGAAACAAAATATCTTAGAAAAAATGTTAAATATAATAAATCCCAATAGTCTTACATTAAATTTTTAAATTTTTAAAATTTATAAATTTGTAGCTTTTTATAAAAAAATTCAAAGCCCACAGCATTTTCAAAGGAAAAACAGATATAAAAAAGGGACTCACTGAGAACTCCAATGGGAAGAAAACATATCAAGAAGAGAATACTGCCATGTTTGCTTTATTGAATCCTGTAAACACCTGACCCACCCAGTGACATTTCATAAGAGGCAACACTAAAAACCACACACGTCAGAGCTAGCTGACTTCAACAGCTCAGAACTACTAGAGCTGCTCTTATGCACACCATGCTGGTGCCTTACGTGTGTGGGTCAGGGGAAGATGTCCTTCTGGAGTTAGAATAAACAGACATTTCAAATAATTAATTAAAATAACTCAAGTTCTATTCTTTATCTGATTTAACTTGAGAAACAGATTTGGAATAATGTCTCATCACTTACTGGTTCTTCTTTAACAACTAAGCATAAATCACCATCACTGCTCCGGGCACCAAATCCATTTAAAGACGATCCGACCAAAAAAAGTCTGCTTTCTAGAGAAGCAGAAGAAACAGTAAAAAAGTCTGCAGTCTGTAAACAGGAGCATAGACAAGAAGGGCATACAAAGTAGGCAGACGTACGTGGGAAGAGCAGTTGGATCTCTCTCTGCAGCTGTGCTCTACAGAGTTCTTTCTTCTTCAAGTCACTTGTTTGCTGCTGACAAGTTTCAAACAACTCTAATATCTGCTGACTCAGCTTGAATGCACCACAAAAGAAAACAAAAAACAAAATATTTAGTAAGAAATTTATAACTACTCTACTAAGCAGTACAAATGAATATTGACAACGTTAAAAAATAAATACATACTCTCTTCTTAACACTTTATGATTCAAAGCTATTTTTACTCACATACAAAAAAATGGCCTGAGAAACTATACATAAATTTAAAACATAAAATATTATTTAATTGATAGTAGTCAGATAATTCATGTGTATAATTGTAGCTCAGCAAACTAAAACCTTTTTGTCATTGTCTGTTTTTATGAGGATCATAATTTTTATACTTTTAAGTCATAATCACAAATAAGAATATGCAAAGTAAATAAGAACCATATGTACATGACATATCCTAAAATATTTACTACAGGTTACTTTCAAGAAATTTTTTCCACCTCTAGCGGTCTTATTGATGGATGTCACACAGAGCAGGTTTTAGAATATCCCCATCTTCCCTACTCAAACAAACTACCCTCCATTCTACTTCTTATAACTTTCTTTGAACCCTGACTTCTTCTGATGAGGTTGCCATCTGCCAATCTCCCTTATTTAGACAGTTATGTGTTAACATTTCCCTTTCACCCCAACTCTCACCATTAGCACAGGATGGTAAGATGACAAAGGACGCCCTTATCTGCACTGAGCTACACTTATCACAATATACTCTACTTCTGAAATTCTTTCACTATATATTTCTCACTTGTGTACTCTCCTGGCTATGTGTTCTAGTCCTGATATTTTAAATCCCAATATACTACTTCAGCTTCAATTTCCTGTTCGACTCACTCTCTTATCACCCCCACCTCTAACGTATCTGCTCTAGACCTAATCACAAGTCCCTCGAGATGCTTTTTCTTCCATCCCATCAGCATCCAAATGATCCTAATGTCCTTCCCTATGCAGCCACTATCCCAGAATGCATCTCCCAAACCATTCTCTTTCGTCATGCCTTAGAAACTTTATCCCTTAGGCTCTAATGTCTTTGCTGCAAAGTCCTCATGTGAAGGAAAAGAAAACACTAAAAGTAAACCTAAGGTACTAAAAGACAAAACTGAAAACTTTCTGGAAAGTCGAGTCTTTCAAAGGTTTGGTATAAAGGTTAGCCTAGTTTAGTGTCCTTAGCATCAGTCAGCCTTTACTCTCCTGTCTCTGCCTAGATACTATTCCCATTTTCACTATTCCATTCCAAAATGTTTACTGCCTTCAAGGCCCCTAAACTTACTTTCTCTTGCAGATAGCTCATATTAAAAATTTTCTAAGAAAAGCCAAGCGTAGTGATGCACATCTGCAAATCCCAGCACTCAAGAGGATGGAGGTAGGAGGATCAGGAGTTCAAGGCCATCCTTGGCTTCATAGGGAATTCCAGGACAGCCTAGGCTACATGAGATCCTGTCTCAAAAGAAAAAGAAAGGGAGGAAAAAACTAAGAAAATTAAAAATACCAAATATAATTCCTCATCTTGCTAAACCATATAAATTAATAGCCCTGAAGGAAATCTCACCTCTTTCCTTCTGTTAAGATAAAGTGTACTGTTGCCATGGCCCTCTACCAGTGTTTTTTTGTTGTTGTTGTTTTGTTTTTTTTTTTAATCCAAGCCTGCTGTTCACCTCAGGAGCAGAAACACCTTCATCAATTCTTCAATCTCTTTTGTATTTTCAGCCTCTCTTAAGCCTCCCACAGTCTATGTATGACCAGACAAAGTCTCATTCATCATTTAAGATGGTTTTTTTGTTTGTTTTTGTTCTGTTTTGATTTTTGAGACAAGCTTTCTCTGTAGCTTTGGAGCCTGTCCTGGAAACTAGCTCTTGTAGACCAGGCTGGCCTCGAACTCACAGAGATCCGCCTGCCTCTGACTCCCAAGTGCTGGGATTAAAGGCGTGAGCCACCACAGCCAGGCAAGATGGGTTTTTTTTTAAAGATTTATTTATTTATTGTGTATACAGTGTTCTGTCTGTATTTATGTCTTCAGGCCAGAAGAGGGCATCAGATCTCATTACAGATGGTTGTGAGCCATCATGTGGTTGCTGGGAATCGAACTCAGAACCTCTGGAAGAGCAGCCAAGTGCTCTTAACCTCTGAGCCATATCTCCAGCCCCAAGATGTTGTTTTTAAAATCATATTCAGAATATTTAAGAAGATTCAAGAATTGTTGACAACTAGCCCATGAAACAGACACAATTTTTAAGAAAAAAAAAATCTGTAAATATCTGCCCCACAAAAAAAGAAACAGCAAGTAGGAGAATAAAACTGATGAAACTAAACCAAAATCAAACACTGGCAACAAATACACCTAACTGACTAGTATTCTTCATGAACCCCAAACCTGACCAGTGAAGGTCAGACACTAATACCAGAATGGCACAGTATCCAAGCAGTGAAACAGTAAGAAAGGGAAAGAACATTAGAAAAGCCCTGCAATCAGATTCCCAGAAATCAAATGGTCTCTAGCTACTACCTTTTGCTTCTTTCCCTCCAAACTGAGGGTTCCCTCAATGTAGAATAATATACAATTCTAGGAGGAACCTTCACAAGCTGTAATTTATTAGCAAACCAGGCCACTAAAAGTTCAGGAACCTCAAACTTAAATGAAAACTCCCTTATAAAGAAACAAACAAACAAAAAACACTAACAAAGAAACTGCCAGGCCCTGAAATCTAAACAAGGCAGGGCTGTCAGAGGCAAAGGAAGGGTCAGGAATGACTCTAACTACACAGAGATGGTTGGTAATGTGTGGAAACTATTCTGGTTACCATAGCAAGGAGGAGAGTATGAAAACCAGTGACACAACTAATCATCTTACAGGACACAGGCCTAACCCTGGGAATACCTGCTCTAAAAGCATCAATAATGTAAAAACAAAAATTCCTGTCTAGACCACAGAAGGGAAGAAGGAAAGCAGAAATGTGAAGAGGTAAGCCTGGGATGTTCATGCCTGTAATCCCAGCACTTGTGAGGAAGAGGAAGGATTGGTGTGAGTTTGAGGTCAGCATGGTCAACAGAGCAAGATCCCATCTCCAAACAAAAATAAATAGCTATACCATGTTAAGAGATGAGAAAACTATTGGTAAACAAATCAATTGTCCTGAAACAGGTACACAGAGTCAAGATAATCAAAACAAACAAATAAAACAGAAGTCTTCTTTCTAAAAATTAAGAAATGTGTTTTACATGGAAAAGTGAAGGATCAAGAATAGTCAGAAGATGAAAGAGAAAAAGAAGCTACATTAACAGAGATACAGCTGCAATGCGAAAAAAATCCCATAGAAATGTGCATATATTCATGAAAAATACTTAAAAACTGGAAGCTGACCCTAATTAAAAAGGAAAATACGAACTAAATTAAGATTGCTCATATGTTGGTACACTGTTGTCATATAATGTTGGAATGGCTAAGTTAAAGCTGAGAGGTTTAATAACACTATAATTGACATTTTATGTACATAGTTTGCTGTTTTCATATCAAGATATAGGCACCCAAGTTTGTAATCAATTATGTAAAAATGGTTAATGTAAAAATTATATGTCATATAAGGGTTAGATTTTATTTACCCAGAAGAAGGATTAGCAAACTAGGGTACACAGGCCAAGTACAGCTTCTAGTCTGTTATGTATGAACAAGGTAAATTATTTTCACATTTTATTAAGTGGAGAAGAAAAAAAAGAGCTAACAACTCAAATAGCTTGAACACCTAGAATATTTGCTAACTGGTCCTTTAAAGAAAATGCTTGTTGTGGAATAGTCTTTCACACCATAGGAAGATATGTCACTATGATTGGTTTAATAAAAAGCTAAACGTCCAATAGTCAAGCCAGATTTTGGGGCACAAAAAACGCTGGGAAGAAGGGCAGAGAGGCAAGACAGCCACAGAACAAGTCAGATACACAAAATGGAATAGAGGTAAAAGTCATGTGTTAGGATGTAGATTAATATACAGGTTAATTTAAGCTATAAGAGCTAGTTAGGAACAAGACTAAGCTATTGATGAACTTTCATAATTAATAATAAGTCTCTGTTGTGATTTGGGAGCTGGTTGGCAGGACAGAGAAAGACTCACAACAGTTTGTTAACTGAAGTAGAACAACATAATCCCAGACATCACAGTAGGTATTCAGTGTCCGATGCATCACAAAGTAAGGAAATTCTAACAATGCTTAAATGAACCCCACTGTAGTTACATGTGCGTCAAAATGGTGCACATTTGTAATCCCAGCACTTGGGAAATTGAGGCTGGAGGATTGTGAATATGTAGCCAAGCTTAAGCCACAAAGAAAACCCTATCCATCTTCCTTGGACACTATCTCACACATCACTCCCACTACCATCTGTCACAACTTAATGCAGCAGTACCTCTTATCCAGAAACATTAATAACCTATGAGATGACTCTCCATCTCCAAGGCCACCTCATTCCAAACCAAACAACTCTGTTCACCCAGAATACAAGTAATCATGTTATTTCAACTATTCAAAAACTTTCAATGCCATTGGACTATGCCTTCAAGAGCCCAAATCACTGTCTATTTATCTCACATCAGATACTGTATTCACTATATACTCTACAGGGGGTAACATAATTCTTATCACATTACTGGCAGCAACAGACACTCAGTAAAATTGTTAGTTATTACTATCACAGATCACGTGATGTTACAACCAGGTCTCACAATGTGGTCTCTCTATCCTAGACTTTAACACATTAAATTCCTCCTCTTTGTATTTTTAGACACAGGTGTCAGATCTTGGCCTTAGCACTTTCGAGCAAACCATTTAACTTTCTGAACAACCATAAAATTTGGGACCATAACTATATGCTACTAGGTTAACATATAACATATAACATGAATGGAATGTCTAAAGAGCAAAAGTATCAATGAACAGAGAACAGAGAAGTGCTTGAAAAGAGAGCACTTAAGTCAGGTATGGTGGCACACACCTGTAATCTGACTTTTCAAAAAGTAGAACCAAGAAGATTATGAGTTCAAAGTCAGCCTGAGCTATACAGTGAGATCCTGTCTCCAGAAATAAAGTATTCATTTAAAGAACAAACAGAAGCACTTTTCTTCTTTAGTATCACTCAGAGAAATTGATTCAACTATAAAATCTATCTCTATTTTTCTAGGGGAAATGCCTTAATTCCAAAGATAGGATTTAGGAGAAATTTTTCTATATGACTAAGCAAAGAAAAATATGGAATCACATCTTACGAGATGTTTATTACTGACTAGTATCAATTATACATTATTAAATTAACAGATTCAATACATATCTAAGCTATATGTAAAAGTAAGCTCTTTGGTTAGCTCTACTAGTTAACTACAAGCATAAATATATATATATAAATGTACTTCTGATATTTAGTAACTATTTATATATCCATTCAGAAAATTCACCTCATTGGCTTTATACCATAGGTTTTCACATTATGACATAGGAGTCATAATGCTTAGAAAGCAAAGGAACAGAGGAATGAGGAAGAAAGAGCACCAGAACATCCCATATTGTTTTTTCACTTTGCTTTGCTTTCTCCTCTTTCCCACTGGTTTTGTCTAATTGTTCTTACTTCACAGTAAGGAAAATGTTGACACAAAAGGGATAAAGTTTTTTTTTATTTAATATGTATATAACATTCTGCCTCCATGTATGCCCACATGCCAGAAGAGGGCGCCAGATCTCATTACAGATGGTTGTGAGTCACCATGTGGTTGCTGGGAATTGAACTCGTGACCTCTTGAAGAGCAGCCAGTGCTCTTAACCACTGAGCCATCTCTCCAGCCCGGGATAAAGTTTTTTTAATGAATAATCCCATGACAAATGAATAAACAAGTAGAAGAATATAGCTGAAGCCTACCTCAATGGATCAAAGTCCTAAATGTAAGAACTAAAAGTAAAAATTCTTAAAATATACTCTAGCACTTAGGAGGTGTATGTGAGTTCAAGGACAGCTTGGTCTACATATCAAGTTTCATGCTAGTCAGAGTTACATAATGAGGCCCTGTCTCAAAAAAATAAATCAACAAATCTTATAACAGACAGGCATCAATACTCAAGACACTGTATTGAGTGGTGGTTTCTGAGATTCAACACTAATAGCAAAGCAACCAAAGAAGATGGATAAAGAAAGAAAGAAACTAATAAACTGAATACATAGAAATGAAAAGTTTTTTGGCTTTAGAGGTCATCAACAAGAAATCTACCTACTAAATTCTGGACAAAAAAAAACTTGAATGACATTTCTCCAAGGAAATGTCCAACAAGCAAATGACATTAGGGAATGGAAACTGAAACCAACTTCATACTAGAACGGCTCAAATAAAAAGAGGCAAGATAAGGATAAACCTCAACAGTGGTTCAGTGTTTGCCTAGCACGTTGAAAGCCCTGGGTCCCATCTCTAGTACTGCAAGGAATTAAAAAGAGAGAGAGAACCACAAATATATGTCAAAAGTGTTGACAGGGATGTAAAGAAAGTGGAACATCTGTCTACATATAAAATCTACTTTTCAAAACATCTTGGCAATGTTCTGGAAATGTTAGACAAAACCAGTAGGAAAGAGGAGAAAGTAAAACAAAATTAAAATGCTCCTAAAAGGTTAAACATATTTTACCATATTACCCAAAAATTTCACTCTTGTCTATGTATCAACACAGTGAAAACATATATCCATGCAAAATTTTATACACAAGACATTTATAGCACCATTATTCATAAAAGCTAGAGTCAGAAACCTAAAAGTCCATTAGACTGATATGGTATATATCTACACAACAAAATATTATCCTACTGGAAAGAAATGCAATTTCAACATTCAGTGAGCTGAGGTAGAAACACAATGTGTTCAAGGCTCATCTAAACTACATGGCAAGTAGTCTCAAAAATAAAAACAAACATGGATAAACCCTTTCATTATGCTAAATAAAAGAAACTGGGCACAAATGGCCATAGATCAAAGGATTCTACTTACAGGAAGTGGGAAGGAAAATGAACACTGCTGAGGTACAAACTTTCTTGGGACTGTTGAGTATGTTTTGGAAAGAGATAACTGCACAACTCTGTGAACTTAATAAAATCTACTGATCTGTACATCTGAAAAGGGACTAGAGGGGAGGGAAGGGAAGGTAAAGTTTACAGTATCACTCTACGAACAAGAGGATGGTAGACATTATACACCCTTCCCAATCACCTACAGAGGAGAGTAACATTCTTCTATTAGACAGTAAAGAACTACTCTTTGTTCCCAATGCTAACATCATTGTCCAAGGAGGAGCAAATACTTTCATTTAATCTAAATAATTCTTACTGATTTCTGATAAATCTTTATTAATTTATTTTTATTTACTGTGTATACAATATTCTGCCTGCATGTATACTTGCATGCCTAAAGAGGGCACCAGATCTCATTACAGATGGTTGTGAGCCACCAGGTTGTGCTGGGAACTGAACTCAGGACATCTGAAAGAGCAGTCAGTGCTCTTACCCTCTAAGCCATCTCTTCAGCACCTTGTAAATCTTTCATGATCACACCACTTAAGGTATATCTTCTCAGAGAAATTCCAAATGACAACACTTTTTTAACATTTTATTATAATTACCATATGAATATTCATGTTGTCTAGAGTAAAAACAAGTTTCACTGGGCATGGTGGTATACACTTTTAATCTGAGAACTTGGAGACAGATGCAGCCAGATCTCTGAGTTCTGGGCCATCCTGGTCTACAGAGGGAGATCCAGAATAGCCAGAGCTATATAAAGAGACTGTCTCAAAAACCAACTACAACCACCATCAATAATTAATTTGAGAAAGAACCAGTTGTAGGAGAATTCTCTAACAACTAAGAAATGAAATCTTTTAGGCTCTTATCCCAAATCTGTAAATCAGAAAAAATCTGATCCTGACAGATGTACTCATGCTAGAAAAAATAAAAATCAAAGTGAAATTTAGAAAGAAAATAAAACTACATATTCAAAAAAGTACATATTCTAAATGGTAGAAAATTAGGTTTTCCTGATCCTTTTAATACATTTTTTAATGTGAAATTTCCAAAAGGCTTCATGAAAATCTGTATAATTACCTTATCTTTGGCCTCAGGCAGTGTGATTTCTCTAGGTTCTAACAGTGGAATTTCTCGAAGAGGTGGAACACATCTTACTATATCTGGTACATAGTGTGTGTGAAACAATGGCGGCATGGAATATCTTCGGTCACCTGATAAAGGCACTATCTGGTTAATTATAGTTGGCTCTTGGTGGGGTGAATGGAAACGCTGTCGTTTACCATCAAGAGGAAAGGTTTTTTCATCGCTTATTCTCCTGAAAGCAAGCAAATATACCTTAGTGATTGGGACACAACTTTATGACAACAGAAGCATACAAATATAGAAACAGATAATAACAGCACTGTGGCTCTTTGGACAGAATTACATTATTAACTCCCTAGTGGACTTTTAATATTCATTTTCAGAACAAGAGATGCCTTCCAATGTCTTCCAAAAACAAAGATAATTAATGGCTTTTGAACTACCAAAATGAGTCATCCTCCACAGTGAAAACAATACAGAAAAATGCATACTTGTAGGATTATACAAGCACTAAGAATTAAAGATAAATTCTAACAACAGGGTAAATAAACTGAGTGTTGTGTGTGTGACATTTTTTAAAGGTTCTTTGAATATACCTATGTTCTAGCTCATCAATGGGAAAAAATTATAATGGGTATTAGACAACAGGAGACACTTGAAAACAAGCTGCAGTTCTGATAATATACATTAACACAAATGTATAGTGCATAATTAAAGCATTCTGGTTACATAGGGGAATGTCTTTACTTTGATAAGGAAAAGGCTGAAGTGTTTTCAGATAAAGTAAATAATGTCAACAGTTTCTTTACTATAATTTAGAGAAAAAGTGTGAGAATGAGAAAAGAGAAAAAGCCAAACAGTTAAACTTTACAACTAAAAAATCAAGGAAAAGAATATTACATTTTTCAGAAAGTTTGAAATTTTTCAAAATAACAAGAAAATAATTAGATCAGCACAGAGAACCTGTCAAGTACCTGTGAAGGCCCAGGCTCAGACCCCATTACCAGGAAGGGTAAAAATGAGTAATTTGACAGAGAAAATGATATTTATCTCATTGATAACCTAAACTGTTCACATGAAATATTTTGTCACAGAAAATGGTCCAATTTCTTGCAAGTTCTAGAATCCTATGGGCCAATGCCATCTCAAAGTTTATTATTACACTGCTCCTCGAAGATTATTCTAACTCTTTATAGAACTGGAACTCCTACTCATAAGTAAACATATACAGAGCTAGACATGTAAAAGTACATTTGCTTTTTTAAACCTGAGTTTAAACATATACACTGAGTATCTTCAATTAAAAATACAAATCTGAATTTTTAACAATATCTGTTATTATGAACTAATGAAACTAATCTTCACTCATGAGTTACCAATTGGCTACTAAGGCAATTTCAAAATTATAAAACTAACGAAGTCAATATTCCTGGAATCATTATATAACTTTCCCAATGATAATCCAGAAAAATTTGTAATGTTTATTATAAGCCTTGGTTCTAGAAGCAGCTATACCATCTCTGTTTGAATAATTATAACTTCTGTATCTTACAGTTTTTGTAAAGCAGAAGATAACAATGAGACTTAATGATATTATTTTAAAGCTTTTAGAACACTACATTTTAAATTACTATTAATTATTTTTAACTAAACAAAGGAACTATAAAATGATCAAATAGGTTTTAAAAGGTATACTGTACAAATATTATGAAATATTTAACAAATATTAACAAATACCTCTGAAATTCTATTATATTATAATAAATTTATTTATTTTAAAACTGAATGATTTCTGAAATGGCTATAGAAAGCCTTATATCTGCCAGGTGTGGTACTGCATGCCTTTAATTCCAGCACTTGGGAGGTAAAGGCAAGTGGATCTCTGTGAGGCCCAGGCCAGTTGGATCTACAGAGCTAGTTCCAGAACAGCCAAGGCTACATTAGGAAAAAAAAAAAAAAACTAACAAAAAGTATCTTATGAGATAAAACTTTTCAAAAGACAATTAAGAATAACTGGGCTCCTGGGGTTGGACCCTAATCTGTTATAATGTATCCTGAAGAGATCAGATCACAGCATAGGAAAGAATACACAGTACAAGAACAGGAATCTATGCTAAAGAAGGGCTGAAAGAAAGATAGCCATGCTAAGTATGATCTCGATTTTTAGCCTCTTTATGGCATCGAGTATCAGTTTGCAGCACTTTGCTGTGGCAACCCTAGTAAATTCATAAGAAAGCGTCTGATGAGGCTAAAATTATCAATTAAAACACAGATTTCTCAAGAAACATAGCTTTATTCCATCTAAAACACACAGTGGCAGGAATAAAACAACTTCAGATTCATTAAAATGTTTGAACCCAAAGAAATTTTAAAATTCTTTGACCAATCTAACTGCATAGGTATCAGAAAACAAAACCTAGGCCATACTCTCCACATAATTTCATACAGCTGCTACAGTGGACTATAACTTTATTTAAAAAATTTATATTTTTTTTAAAAAAAACAGTTGAAAAATACTTACTTCCTTCCTCGAAACAATGGGGATGTCGAGGTCTGTATTGGACTGACAGTTCCATATGTCAAGGGCTGTAAGGTCACAGCTCTAGACAAGCTACCAAAAACACAGAATAATAACATAAATATTTTTCTTTAGAACCAAAAAATCCACACAAACTAAATACTTAGCTAGTCAAAAGAAAACAAAGTTTAACAATATTTTCTTTGCTTCCAAATATTGAATACAACAACATTATACCAAAGAGGAAACAGAACATCATGACATGGTCCAAAATAACACCATACTTACTCTACATTTTGGAAGTTGTATTGTGCATCAATAAGTTGCTGGTGTGAATAAAGAGGTGGTGAGAGAGCAAAGAAGTTATTATGCTGTTGGTGGTTTGGAGTGAAGGGTGGACGACCCAAAATTGAGTTTGGGAACATGCTCTTGTTCACTGAAGGTGAACATGTATTCTTCTACCTATAATTTTAAAAGATAATACCAAATTATTATAGCTGAAAGACACAGAACTCTTTGGTTAGTATTATCACTACTTAAAACAATTAGCTTCAAATTAGTCATTTCATTTGCAAAGTTATTTCTGAAAGTTAATACGTCTTAAATTCTACTATGGGCAACAAATCACTAATAGCTCACTTAAAATCTAAACCACATCCAAAGGCTTTCAAAAGTGTGCATGTTTCAAATTTTCTGATGAATATGCTCTAATAAATTTACCTTAACAGCAACATAACTTTTACCACCACTATTCTAAACAGCAAAAGAAATCATTCAAGAGATTTAATTAAATTGCACAGATCCTTACATTTATTCACAGCCTAACTCATAAAAAGTACATGCTATCATGTGATAACCTGATATCTAGGATATGGTACTTTACATTATCTGAAGAAACAAGGAAAGTGTGTCACCTACTAATTCATAAAATTCCAAGATTCCTCTCAGCAGCTATACATAAAAGACTTGCAATCAAACAGTTCCATGGAGGGAGGAAAACTGTGGAGGACAATCAGAACACATCACTAACCTAGTAAGACACTAGATGCTTTTTTTCAATGACTAATCCAGCAAAGATCTTGAAAAAGGTGGGTGAGATAGCATACAAAAATCAAGAGCCGGGCAGTGATGGCACACGCCTTAAATCCCAGAACTCGGGAGACAGAGGCAGCTGGATCTCTGTTAGTTCAAGGCCAGCCTGGTCAACAGAGCTAGTTCCAGGACAGGTTTCAAAGCTACAGAGAAACTCTGCCTCGAAAAATAAAAAAAAAAAAAGAAAAATCAAGAAAACAAATTAAAAATGATACTTGCGTGACCATCTTCTTAAAACATGTAATTAGAAAATTCTCAACTGAGAGACAGTGTACAATATAAGAAAAAACAAAACAATAAAACACAGTAAAAGGTAAGGGTCTACCAACAAAAAAGTCAACAGAATTACGTGCTCAACCTACCTACAAAAAATGCTAACAGTCACCAGGTACCACTCATATATAAGAAGCTTTCATTTAGATTTCTAGCTCATACTCAAAATAATGAGTATCCACAGATCACCAAAGACAGAGGAAAAATAAATAGAAAATAAGCAGAAACTATAAATAAACATTCAAAGTATATTTTAAAAAAAAAAGCCTAGAGAACCCGAGTATGTGAGCCAAAATTATAACAGAAAAGTCCATGAAAAACAGAAACACAGAGCAGGGGAGGGAAGGAGGGAGAGAGAGATGGAATTTTAGAATATCCAGAGAAAATCAGTTTATCAATATTCAAAGGAAGGAAATATTAAAAAGTTAGGGATCAAAATGTCTTTGAACTTTCTAAAATAATAGTAGAAGTCACAAGACACAAATTAATGCCTTTAAAACTTAAGTAAAATGTAAAGCCCAAAGGTTACCCCAGTGGATAAGATCAATAAGGGAAAATGAAAATATGTGCAGATATGAAGGGTAAAAAGAGAAAGGTGAGGCAGGTGGTGCACACTAGCAGTCCCAGCACTAAGACTGAGGCGGAAGGTGCAAAACTGTTTAGCAGGAAAAGTGACACACACAGAAGCAAGTGGATCACCAAGTTCAAGGCCAGTCCGGTACATGTGGAGAGTCTAAAGCCAGAAAAATCATATTAGGGCAATTTCCCATAAAGGTAAGGAAAGGAAGTTAACAGTAGCTCAAAGTCAGAGCAGAAAGATGGTCTCAAGATGATACTCAAGAAATGCAAATCAAAACAACTCTGAGATATCATCTTCAGTCAGAATGGCAAAGATTAACAGAACAACCAATAACAAATGCTGAAGGGGCTGTGGGAGAAAGGGAATCCTCATTCATTCATTGTTGGTGGAATTGCAAACTGGTCTATCCACTCTGGAGAGCAGTGTGGGAAAATCCTCAAAAAGCTAAAAATAAGTCTACCTTATGACCCAGCTCCACTTCTTGTAGCTAGGAAGTGGAAACAACATAAATGTCCTTCAACTAAGAAATGTACAATGAAACCGTGGTACATATAAAATATACTAGGAAATACCATTCAGCTGTATAGAAAAATGAAATCATGAACTTTGTAGGTAAATGGGTAGAACAAAAAAAGATATTGAGTGAGACAATCCAAACACCCCACTCTCCGCCAAAAATGTGGCATGTTCTCTCTCATCAGAGGTTCTTAGCGCCAAATCTTCAGATGTGAGGACACACCTTGGAGTTACTGCGGGGGGGGGGGGGGACAAAACAGGAAAAAGGGACTCTTGCTGGGGCACAGGAGTGGGGGAACAAGACAGGGGACTATCAGGGTACAAATGATCTGATCCAGGAAATGGGAAGGGGGAGGCTTTAGTTAGGAAGGGGGAGGGAAGTAAATATAGGAGGGGAGAAGGTTAAATAACAGTAAGGATGTTTGAAAAAGTCATAAGGAATCGTGCTATTAACTAACCTAAAACAAACCTCTAACTCTCTCTCTCTCTCTCTCTCTCTCTCTCTCTCTCTCTCTCTCTCTCACACACACACACACACACACACACACACACACAGAAAGAGAGAGAGAGAGAGAGAGAGAGATTAAATGAACTTTTCTCATCTGGGCTGACAATGCTCCTTCCAAGAACCAATAACTAACAAAAACCCAAATGACATGACCAGGCATGACAAAAGAACCATGAAAGCTTCCAAAGGAGAGAAGCAACCAACAGTCCAAACTGAGCTATGATGCCTATGAACCACAACAAAGACTAACATTGTACAACAACCCTAAGGGTGAAGTAGAGGCATGCATGCCTTGGCAGTAACCAAGAGCTCTTTAATTTGACTTAAGACTCACTCAACAAGAGGGTCATGCCTGGTACTGAAAATCTACTAGTAAACTACCCTGAGTTAATGAAGTCATGGATCTTGGAGGAGACCCTACAAGCATCACTTTACTAAACTAACATAATCCCTAACCACATTCTAAATATTTGTCCTTATACCCACAGATTACTGCAGTTCTCACCTCTCGTTAAGAAAAATTCTCTTTAAAATAAACAGAGACCATTACGAAAACCACAACCAATGAAAATGCAGAGTCATATAGCCCAGTTCCAAAGGATACATCTACAACACAATTTCCACACCTAAGACATGGAGAATACTGTGGAAGAGGGCTAGGAAAATCTAAGAGCCAGAGGATCAGGGAGTTTGCTGTGAGATTGTGTCTCCTAGTAATGTCAGAGGCTACACTCATACACAAAGAACTACAGTCAACTAAGGTATGCTGAGATTGGGAGAAATAGTCTTCCCCAAGAAAGAGTACACCAATTGGCTATCCAATACAAATGGTCAGCCCTAAAATAATACATACAAGTAATATATACAAACTGAACAGGTTATAATTAGGTATATACTGTGTTTACATATATGCAAGCAACAATTTGAAAAAAGGCTGTGAATTCGAAAGAAAGCAAGAAGGGGCAAATGAAAGGGTTTGAAGAAAACAAAAAGAAAAGGAAATAATATAATCCTCTTGAAAATAGAAAATATTAATTTAGTGCTAATAAAAGTCACTACACAGAAGGACACTCTTTTAAAAAAGAAAAGAAACTTTATAGAGTATTCAATGAGTTATTAGTGCAAGTGGAGTTTTCTGGCCCCAGGAGCCAATATCCAAATTACCAAACAGAGGCTTTATTAATTATAAATGCTCAGCCAATAGCTTAGGCTTGTTATTAATTAGTTCTTATAATTTAACCCATTTCTATTAATCCAGGTACTGTCCCAAGGCTCATGGCCTTCACTTCTATGGCCTTCACTTCTATCCTATTTTGTGTGTCCAACTCATTCAGCATCTGGCTGGCAGCTCCCCCAGTTCCGCCCTTTCTCTTCCTATCCTCATTTTGGCTTTTCTGCTTAACCTTATCCTGCCTGGCTATTGGTCAGCTTTTTATTAAACCAATCAGAGCATAATTTACAAAAGAGTACAGATGGATTTTTCACAGTATGTCCCCTTTTATTTCTAATTAAAAAGGAAGGTTTTAGCTTTAACATAGTGAAATTATGTAATAACAAAACAGTTATTAAATAGGAATTACAGTCATAATAGCTAATCTATTTGTATTTAGCAAAATCAGAGAAAATACTCTATTATCTATCCTATCTTTGTGAGTCTAAAGTTTTATACCTAATTTGCTTTTTGTCAAAATTTAAAAAAAGCTGTAAGTTTAACTATTTAGTCTTTAACTCCTTCAAGGACCCCAGAAGGATAAAATGTTATCTAATGGCAGGAACATCAGGCTGCCTGGACAGGTACCCAAAGTTCCTTTGCAATACTGGGTCATCCCACTCTGGGTTACAAGCCTAGTATATCTGACACTTTCCTGTGAAGCAGGGAATTCTGATGGACTGTCCTACCTTGTCTTGGCAAAGTTTGGCAGTCGCCTTGTATGCGTCCTGCTGGTTCAGTTTGGATAATATATCATCATCAGTTTCTTTGCCCACATGGTTAGCTTTTGCCATAAAGAAAACAAACTCCATACAGAGTTTCTTTGATGCCCATCATCTTCTCTGAAGTAGATTAGAGCTGCCAGGAGCAGAAATGTCTCACTGTCATAAAAAGTCTTATATTATTAAAACATTTTAAATGCCATACTCTGTAGGTCTTTGAAGTATTTGAAGACCATCTATCTAAATATATCTGTTTACCCTTGAAAACATCTTACATGACTATAAGTTTGACAATTATAGATGACTATTAACCTATATTTTTAACTATTCATTATATTTTTAAATGGGTTGCTTAAACATAATATCCCAAAACAAAAGTAGAAACACACATACAGCATAACAGAAATAACTTTAAATTTGTACCAATAAATTAAAATTCTTATCAATGTAAAATATTTTGAGATTAATTTTTAGAGTAAAGTAGATTCAAAAATCTACCTTTCCTCCCATCATTTTCATATCATACCTGAGTGCTTTTTTTCTTTTTTTTTTTTTTTGGTTTTTGGGTTTGTTTTGTTCCCCCCCCCCGCCCCAGACAGGTTCTCGCTGTAGTTATCAGGCCTGTCCTGGAACTAGCTCTTGTACACCAGGCTGGCCTCAAACTCACAGAGATCTGCCTAATCCTTTTGCTACAGTTAAAGATATACCACCACCCAGTGGTTTTTTGTTTGTTTGATTGATTTTGAGATAACGTTTCTCTGTGTAGCCATGGCTGTCCTTGAACTCACTTTGTAGACTAGGATGGCCTCCAATTTAGAGATCTGCTTGCCTCTGCCTCCTAATGCTAAGATGAAAGACATGAGTCACCACACACAGCCTGGTAATATGTTTCTTATAATAATATAACCACTAAATATACCAATTTAGTTGTTGTATTTGTTATGTATCATTTACTATATATTATACAGTATATTTACACATTTTATATTATGAAATTATATACTGATATGTCAAGTTTTATGTGTGTATACAGCACGTATGTAAAAGATTATTCAGGTTACAGAAAATGCTAAATTTTCTTTTCTGATAAGCATATCAAAAAATGAACTACAAAAGCTTAATTTTTTATCAGAAGAAAAACAAAGCCTAAACAGATACATGTATTAGAGAATGAATGACATTAAAAGGATTAGAAAAACTGTTAGAATCAACAGAATGGGGTTGGGAGGGAGCCTGAAAAGCAACTGAAACTCACACATACAAATTTTGTTCCTTGATTTTTCAATTCTGTGGAATTAAAATTTCCTAGGTTGACCACTAATGAATCAGTTTCATTAGTCCAAGTTTCATCATAAGTAGTGGACAGGCAACTTACCACCATTATCATACATCATTCCAAATGCCTGACTATATTTATAAGTCTGTCAAATTCCTGCAGGAAGTCTGTACTTCCTATTATTGGGGGATGGGGACCTGTTTGGTTTTGTTATTTTTTTTATCACAATCCGCTAACCTGTACTCTCTGAATTTCACTGCTTTGAGGGAAATGGTGGTTAAGATTTGGTTCCCTTTATTCCACTTCCCTGAACTAACTTCTCATTTTAAAACAACCTTTTTCATGGGAGTTATGAAAAAAAAGTCATTAAGTGATTAGCTATAACAAATTTTGCTTGACATTTCATTTTGCGGGGAATACAGAAACTAGAGACCTAACTAAAAACCACCTCTACTTAGAAAAACTAGAATTAAAAAGTTCTATTTTAAGTCATGCTTAGTGGCACACACCTGAAATCCCAGCACCGAGAAGGATGGTCAGCATTTGAGACTAGTTGGGAAGACACAGCAAGTTCAAAGCCAACCTGGACATAAGATTGTCTCAAAAAACACAACACCAAAGTTTTATTTCAAAGCTAGGAGTAGTGGTGCATGTCTGAAATCTCAGAATCCTGGAGGCTCAGGCAGGTGGATCTGAAGTTTAAGCACAGCTTGGGTTCCATAGGAGTAAAAATCCATCTCTTAAAGCAAACATGGGAGCTGGAGTGCTCAAAGGTTAAGAGCACTGCCTGCTCTTACAGAAGACAGCACCTGCATGGTGACCCATAACTATCTGTAACTCCAGTTCCAGGAAACCCAATGTCTTCTTCTGTCCTTCCAGGGAACTAGGCATGCACATACTAGTATGTGTGTGATACACACACATAAAATAGACACATCTGAAAAACTAAAATAAAAACAACAACAACTACTACTATTTCAGGTTCATTTACAGAGGTTCACTGTTCAACATCTAGACAATCTTTTAACTATAAACAATAAACTGTCTTTTTCTTCTGGACCCAAATAAAGCCCTATGTGTCTACATTCAGACTTAAAGATGCAAAAATGCTAATGATACACCTCTCACTTTTATTTCTATCCCATTACACAATCAACACCAAACTAAGTAGAAGTTAAAAGATGATATGGTACCCAGAACTACTCTATAACATTAAAACCAAATGATTCTATGCTTAAAAGCTTAGAAGCCTAGACAATTGTTAAAAATAGTTAAAATTTTACTCTAGGGTATGTATCTAGTTCAGCATATTCCAATGCAAAAATGGAGCATTAGTTTCTATTATACTATTTTATTGAGAAAGGGTTTCACTGTGCTAAGCTGGCTGGCCTGGAACTCTCTAAGCAGACCAGGCCGGCCTTCAACTCACAGAGATCAGTCTGACTCAGAGAAGCATTTATTCTTCTGGAGTACTTCTAAAATAAAATACTACTCAGGCTCTCTCAAGAATCTTGACCCTTAAGTCAAACTCCTAACTGGGCAACCTTCAAAATAGAACCATCCCTAAGAATTAACAAATAGTGTTGAATGTTCACCCCCCACAAATAGTCTAACTGACCATTTAGAGAAATGAAATCCTTTTTCTAATACACTTCAATGATGATTGTAATGATACTGAAGCAATGATCTATTGCAAAAATACAAGAGAACCAGATGTGGTGCCACACACATTAGAGGTCACTACTGGAAAGGCAGAGGCAGGCGGATCTCTCTGAGCTCAAGGCCTGCCTGGTCCATAAAGCAAGTTCCAGGCTAGCCAAGGCTAATCTTTATAAAAATATAGTTTAATGAAATAAAAATCACTATACCAGAACTTTATAAAATTTTAACTATTTTCTTTATAGTCTTTGTTTGTTTTGCTTTGTTTTTCAAGACAGGGTTTCTCTGTACAATAGCTCTAGCTGTTCTGGAACTTACTCTGTACTCACAGAGAGTGCTGGGATTAAAGGCCCGGTTTCTTTATAGTCTTAATGAAGACTCCTCACTAAAGACAATCTGTAAAAAATTATTTTTTGCTATCTGCAGTAGTATGATAAATTTTATACTAACATCCAGAAATGGATAGCATCCAACTTGTCTTACCTTGAATTACTGGCTTTTTAATCTGTACTCAACAGTAAAACAGAATAACCTAGGTAAAATCATTACTGTTTTTAAAACCATGATACTGGTTCTTGCCTTGAGAAAAGACCCTTAAAGACTGCTTTGTCTAACATGCTTAAACCAGTGCAAGATTAATACAGGCTTATGTGCAAATGAGCACACATAAGACAAGATAGAAATAGTTCAGAAAGTATTTCTAGTGATAACAATATTTGGTCTCTTAATCTGCAACTTAATTATTGTCCCCAAATTGATTTGTCCTACAAGTTATAGAAGACTCAAGTTTACATAATAGTCTCTTCACCAAAACTCTTTGGAAAGCAGCACCTCCCTAATACAAACAAGAACTGAATGATTAGATCAAGTTCTCTGTTCACATTAAGTATCTTTGATCCCCTAAAATGTTCAGTTCTTTTCTCCACAACAGAAAAAGTCTAACTCCTAAATCCTGCTTCCCACTGTCAAAACCACCTTCAGGTTTTAACGGAGCATTCCTCTTTTTTATTAAAAATTAAATTCCATCTAAGAGTTAGAAGAAAACTCTAGCAACATGGCCCCAAATGGACATTTCTCAAATTACTGAAAACTGGCCTGTTTCACACGGAGTCTATGTAGTACGGGACATTTCTAGATCCCATACAATTAGGGCTATTCACACCTACCAAGTAATGTTTCTAATACCAGTTATTAGTCAGTGCAAATTAAAAAATGTTATCGTGGTTAGCAAACCAAAGCCTGGTAGGACTGAACTATATGATGGTAGTGTATCTATCTGTATTCAAACACAAGACACACAAAAAAAACATGTACTTAATTTTCTAACCGTACTTGCATCGTTTTTTTCTCTTCCTTTTAGCAACAATCTTATTTTTAAACAAAGCTGAAAGAAGCGAAACAAGAAAGAAGACTTAAGTATCTTGTTCTTTTCTTTTATCCGCAATCGATTTATCTTACACAAAGCTCAAAGAGGCAAAACCAAGGCAGGGAACTTAGATCCGAGTCTGGGAAACACATAAGCCCCACCACCACTCTGGTGCTCTTAACCAGATAAAAGGAGGGAGCGCCTAGCCACAAAATCTGACCTGGGAAACCATCAGCCCGTCCCAACCTGTGTTTTGACCGAGGGGGACTTCACGCTATTTAATTAAAAGCCTCAAAGATAAATGCCTTCCACGATAGTACATTAATGTGGACATTTACCTTAGCTCGCCACCGCCTTTTGGAATACCAGGTGGGAGTATCTAGCCAGTCTTACTCTTTCGGTCTAGGGAGTGAGGACAGCGCGGGAGGCGGCGTGAGAACTAGAGAGAAGACGGAATCAGAGAGAAGCCAGCGGCGCCAACATTCTTCACCGAGTCCAGCACCCGGGGAACGCCCCTAGTCCGGGAGCCGCAGGGCAGCGCCAGGCTCTCTCTCCCGCGCAAAACACAGCGCCAGTCTCAGAAAAGTTTCGCGCGCCCGGCCGGGGAGCAGGGCCTGCACGCGTGCATCCCCTCCGGAGACCCCACTCACCGGCGTCCACGCCGAAGGGCCGAGCAGGGCCCAGCGGCACCGCCCGCCAACGCGGCCGCCCGAGCAGCCCGC